TATTGGTCGTTTCTAATTCTTGCATTTTACCTGTAATAAGGCCAAGATTGAGCTCCGTTAGTAATTTTTACATGTAGCCTAGGTAGACAGATTTATGTATGTACTAATATACTCTGACGCAAGCTTACGACTAAAAGTTGTTTGCGGGTTAAAGAGGGATTATTTTGTGGGAAGTTGTTATGGAATGACAACCCTATCTAGCACATGTAAAAAATTTGTTCCAGCATAATTTTTTAATAAATGCAGTCTTATATATATATATATATATATATATATATATATGCTAAGGAACGTTTTTAAATTGCGAAACAACTTTTGCGCCGCCAATTACGCACGATCGGTTCCACGACCGATTTCAACTTTGGCTTCTATCGTCGGCACTTAATTCGCTGCGCGTCGGACGCTCACGGGTCGTCACGTGGAACGGTGGACTTGTGTGATCATCTTCCATTCGCGACACTATAAATAGTTATTAAGGCATATATTAGACTAATGCAAAGCCACTGATTTCCTTTAGTAGTACATGTGAGTATTCTTCATTCAGTAAAACAGATCATTCCTTCTGGGTAAGCGACAGATGGTTTTTCTGTCTCTCATAGACGAGACCGACTGAGCCAAATTGTACTGGCAAAAAATTTGCTGAAAATAAAATTGATTACTGTTTGTTCGTTGTATTTAACATTGACTTTTTCATACTTGTATGTATGAATTCATAGAGTAACGTGTTATGCAAGACCACATATAATATTATATATATATACCTATTGTGTTGACTATTTAGGGCGTAGCGATACCTCGATTTGTCACAAAATAAAAATCAATAGATATAGTCGTAGTTTAGTATATATTAGTAGTAATAATTGAACAAAAAATGAATATACTTCTAGGTTTGTGTGGATAAAGTTTTCTACAACTATTGCAGGTTACTGCTTTTGCGTAACCGTTCAATTGTGTCAAGACAGATCATTCCTATTTTTTTTTATGTGGTCGAAAAATCGCCTTTCGATCATACCCTCCAGTCAAACCCAAGTTTATATTTTCAGATTTTTATTTTTCAATATCGCCCGACGCGACATTGTCGACCTCAAACGTCGATATTTCAAACGATGTTACACGGCCGTCTAGAAAATACAATATAAATGAGTCACTTTTCGTGGGAACATCCGTCGATTTTGGAATCTTTTAATACAGACGTCAACCGCGGTGTGAGATACGATGAGAATGTGTATTGAATGCACCGTATATAACAGAACACCGCCAATAACGTAGCACTTCATTATCATGCTGCATAGAATCTACATAAAGATGTAACTTAAAGGCGCCAATAAAAGTTTAGGATGTGTTTAGATGCCTTCGATGAATATAGCGATACATTTTCCATAAACATAGCACTCAAGTGCCCGTTACCTAGTCTATCATTTGTTCATGTCAGTACCAAAAACAATTGTACCAGTACAGCTTTCTGTCTGATCAAAAGAGTGACCTATGTCTACATCTTTTCCAGCATAGAATTAGCTTTGTATCAGTGAAATTGGCATGAATAGTTCGTTGATCTGTGCTACATAGATGTTCTTAAATCTGTACGTACCGGGCCAAATACGGTAGAATACGACACTTCTGAACGTTTTTGATCTGTTCCTTTGGGATCCGTGTCACGTTCGACGACAGCTCATTCAGGACTATTGTTAGTTGATTATTCGCGCTAATAAATACATGTAAATTCAAATAAATGCCAATATGCAAACGCACAAACGTACGCACAATTTTTCTATTTAATTAAATCTTCCACTTAACGTAACTGAAACATGGAGAAAGTAACGGCTCAACTACGTTATGGCTACTGAAAGATATTTCATTGGTCGCCATCTCTTCGACGTGTTGTAAGCCGCGGCTACTCTACGTAGCTGGGTGTCGCTCTACGCAATATTGAATTGAGGGTACAAGCAAGTATAATGGATGTAATGATAATCTAAAGCGGTTTCGACTTAACGGAAGTTTCGGACGATTACTTGTGTACCAGCGTATTCAGAAAAATGTACCTTCAATATAGTGGAGATAACTGCGTACCGTAACCACGGGAAGTACTGCATATATGTATACTTAAAATTTTTCAACATACGAGATATAATGTAGCCTCGACTAACGTACTATACAATTAGAATAACTAGAAAGTGATACGTATGGTAACTTTCCTATGAAGTTATTCACATTCGCATCTTATCATGGCTATAACTTTAGCAAGTTTTTTTTTCAAGCATTTCATAGGCAACATTCGCCCATCGTCACGTGTTCTCTCTATTATGTCTATCAGTATATGAAAGGCAAGTGTTTACTGTTGCTTACGCTGGAGAAAGTCAACTAATCAGGGGGGCTGATGGCACGTTCTGTTTCGTTGCGGATCTTAATAGATGTAACTATTTGATCGAGTGAAGGCTGGCCATAGGAGTCATCTTGAGAACCCGTCTTGACCCGAAAACATATATCGATTATACAACATGACGCTTGGCCGGCAGCAGAACAACAATAGCTCTGTTTATGGAAAACCTAGCAGTCATGACGATTCTCTTCGGAAAAATAGATTCAGAAATCCATAACAGAATGCGCAGTAGACTCGTTCATATTTTTGGATAACACGGATAGAAAAGCTTCGCTGGACTTGTTCGTATAGGTTAGTTCAAGTTTAGCTTAAGTAACACTAGCCATAACAAAAGCTTGATTATAGTTTGGAAAGGCTTTACGTAGTTACAATTAAAGTCCAACTTCTCGTATCGTCGTAAGCACGCTAAAGTGACCTTGTGGAGTATTTTCTATTTCTATTCTAATTCTAAGCAGCTTTAATAATTTTCACGGAGTTTTAGAAGTAATTCTTATTGTCCCAAGGGAACCTAACAGCCACATATATTGGCTATACGATGCAATATACCATTACTAGTTTAATCGACTTTTCCGAAATATCTGATTTACTGTCGAACCAACAAATACTGCTGGCAGGATAAGAGATTATTCGGCAAAATTGCGTGCGTACAATCTGCGACTTGCGATTGTAAGCTAGGTGCTTTAAGCAATTTATTCAGATAACAGATAGTTATGTACATATTCCGTCGGATAATAGCTCGAACATCTTTTAACTGTATGACAAATCAATGGTCGAAATCGATTTGTCGTTTCCAACAAAAAAAAAGAAAAGACCGCGGTAGTAATAATGTATTGTAGCACAATAAATATGTATGACAGCCAGTAACTATAAATGTTTTTGTACCACCAAGGATCGCTGTTGAGCATGCTGGTCTTCGTAAAAAAAATCGCAGTATCTATCATCTTGAATCTTTAACGTAACTCAGCACACGTTCAACTTAACTTACATAGCTACCGTGTATTTATCTAGCTGTGTTTTTCAAGCTTGGCTTTCGATGTGGATAATTTTGATTGGGTCGTCATGAAGACTTATGGGATCCTGCTGTCGTTTCGCTAGATAATTAACGAGATTAGCATATGCACGCTTTTGGCTCCAGTGAACTCCAGTGTTTGGTCAACTAGGCAATTTACCATTTCGACCAAATCAGGGTCAGGGAATGGGCCCAAACCGCTTAGAAGAAATAATGAGCTTAAAGAAGAAAAGGCACCTGTATCGTTTACGATTAACTAGTTTTTTTTTATGCAAATGAGGTTCATTTGGCTGAAGTCACAGTTTAAGGGAGACTACGGTAAATAGATCGTCTTAGCCAGAAACGAAAGTTCCCCATTATCCGGCCATCGGAATTACCCACTAAATGTGCTAGTTAACAAAGGTAGTTCTGCCGATAGTAAAACAAGATGTAACGAGACCTAGAACGGATTTAAAAAATTCGCAGCGTCATTTTTTTATAGCGGGAGGCATATGCAACTAGCGTACGCAGGTAGGATGGTGGTGCATAGCAATGCCTGCACGAAGGAGAGATGACGGACTAATTTTTTTTACCTGGATAATGACCTTCGCCTGCTTAAATATGTATATATAACTATTTCTAAGCTCTAAATCTATTATGGCCCACTTACTGTACTGCGAGTATCATTTGCAATGTAAATGGCAAGAAATCGCTGCGTGGACGTCTGGTCAATGTAACGTCATAACATTACACAGGAAACTGGGTCATAGGGTAAAAAAAATGCGCACCAATCAACGACATGTTCTTACGGGGATCTTTCAGGGGAAATTATTTTGCCAGTTAGAATATTCGCCATCGCCAGTGTCCATGCACCAGCGGTAGGCCTCACTACATTTCGATTGCAAATCCCGCTCATTCTGATATTCTTTATAGGCCAGTTCGCATGACACAGGAATAATTCTTTCTCTTTGATCTAAAGTAGCTGCTCTGCTATAGAATGAAGTTCGCTTGCTGTTTTCGGGCCATTACCGGAGGCCACTACATTAGTGCTATAAGATCTCGTGAGGTTGAATATCTGGAATTTAATGAAGTTAAGTGACTAGGTGAGTACTTCGGTATAGCAAACGATATCAATCTCGTGCTTTACAGCGGGCAGATGTCCACATTAAGCTTCAGCACAACTCTTCTTACATCTTTGAGCTTTAGAATACGCGCCACGCGTCGTACATACATTTTTATTCTAGGAACATAAATCTTGCCTCAAGAAATTACCATCGAATCGAAATTGAAACCATTTCTCGCAACTTTTGGAATCTAGTCAGTCGACGAAACCCCCCCCCCCCCACGCTATTTTGTGATTATACCTATTTCTGCTGTTTCTGGTTTTTAAGAGTTTCTAGGTGAGTAAAAGTCGAGAAATTCGTTTGCCACTCTTTAGATACACAGTATCGCCGTGTTAATGAGCTCGTGCGACTAATGCAAGATACCTGGCGTCATTCTGCATTACTTTTCTTTCACCCCACCTCCTTGCTTGCATAGCCAACCTCCCCCAATACGGTCTGCATCTGGCTGTCTAACAACGATGTTTTATCGCTCAGTAGAAGAGTATCGCGTTTCCCTTAGTCCCCTGTTCGAATCACTGCTGCTGGGATAGTTACTGTTGATACTGGTGCTACCGATCGCTTGTAAATAAACTGCCGTATTACTTAGCCCTACGCATTTATGACGTAGCTACAGGTAAACATGTTGACATGGCGCATGCGACAGAGACATGTTGGCAGTCAAACATCTGTAGAACCGCTGAGTCTTTTGTTGTTATTGTAGTTGTTTGTCTTCGAAGCTCCGTATGCGTTGGTAGATGTGCAGCGTCGATGACCGCTATCGACAATCTATGTTTATAACTGTGCATGTTTAAAAGTGTATGGATGTGTGTGTGTGTTAATGTAGTATAGGCATGTGTTTGCTGTGGTTTTCACAGTCTTTTACGGTATGGCGTGTTACAATTGCACTGCTCCAAAAGGGCTGGTATGAGAACAAGATGGCCCGCTATCAACTCTGTCTACAGAACGTCTACGACGGCCTGCATGCGTGCTTCTCCTCGTCGCTTACGTATCATTGTGGTTGGCACCAGTTCGTCTGCCTAAGAGCTATCGTTGGAAAGGCGCAAGATTTGGATGCTCACCTATTAGTTGGCTGTTAGCCATTGACGTCGTGCTGACAAAAGGGTGGCGTGGTTTATCTGTAGACTGTATAATTTTTTTCGAGAACAACTCGTCTAACATCATGAGATGCGCGAGGACGTACGAGGGTTGCGAACCGGTATACGAGAAAATCACTATTCTGCCCAGTAAATGACCAGTATAGTAGGTGAAAAACCACGCATCCTCTCGTAGCTTTGGCGGCACGCTTATCTGATCAAAACGATTTTACGATTTAGCCACCACCGTCGCCATTACCGATGCTGTAGAGAGTGGGACGTGTGTCCTTATATAGCGGGACAGGTTCTCAGAGAAGACGAACTGCGGAACACGAACTACCTTAAGTGCTGTGACAATTCGCTTTGAAAGAGGAACAAAACAGCAATGAACACCGGTACACTTGCCGAGGGCACAATCGTCGGCTTCGGCGATCCCTTGTTGGACATCACAGCCGATGTGGATCTGGACTTTCTGAAAAGGTTCGGCTTGAAGCAAGATGATTCTATCCTCGCAGGAGATAGCCAGCGTGGCCTCCCGAAGGAGCTGTGTGAAAGGTACACGCCTCGCTTCTCTTCCGGCGGATCAACACAGAATACCCTTCGGGTGATGCAGTGGATCCTCCGACAGCCCAGAATCTCAACCATGGTAGGTGCTATTGGTTATGACCAGTATGGCCGGTACTTAGAACAAAATGCTCGTGAATGCGGGGTTGATATTCGCTATCATTACGTAGAGCAGGAGTCGACAGGAACGTGTTGCGTTCTTCTTAGCCAGAACGGCATCCGTCGTTCGCTCATTACAACGAAAGGGGCCTCGGCCCGCTATTCGATTCAGCATTTGCAGCGCATTTGGGAGCCCGTTGTTGAACGTGCTCGATTTTTTTACGTCACGTGCTACTTTTTATCGGGCAATGCTGAAGTGGTTTTAGAGGTGGCCCATCACTCCCATCAGAGGGGCAAGGTGCTGTGTCTCAATCTTTCAGCGTCCTTCCTAATGGCCCTTCATCGCGAAAAGATCTGTTCTATCTTGCCCTACGTGGATATTGTGTTCGGAAATGATAGCGAATTAGAAGCCTTCATTGAGGCTCACTATGAACCTGATCAAAAACTCACTCGCGAAGAAGCAGCTCGTTTCCTTTCAACATTTATGGCGCCGCCTGGATCACCTCGTCTCGCGGTAATCACGCAAGCTGAAAACACCGTCCTCGTGGCTAAAGGCAGTAAACTTGATAGTTATACCGTCGACGAAAAAGTGATCGACGTTGATTCTCCTGGTACGGTGGACACTAATGGAGCGGGTGATGCGTTCGTAGGCGGTTTCTTGGCCTCTCTGATCAAAAGCTGCTCTGTTGAAGTGTGCGTAAAGAACGGCTGCATGGCGGCGTTGGCCATCATTCACGAGGTCGGCTGTACGACTCCGGACCGTTCTAAGGTGCGTTTCTATTCGGGGACACGCGACACCGAACCCCGTATTCCTTCAATTACACGTCGACAAATCAGCATTTCATAAACCAGCTTCATTACAACGACGTTACCAGATCAGCATTTAACAATCATTCCGCATAGATTATACGGCGTCATTATAGAACCACCTCTTGCCGATTGGGCTTCATCATCGACCCAGATCCCCAGCAAAGGCTTTGGTGGCGGGCTTCCTCTTTGCCGACTCTCAGCAACCTGCGTGGTTCCAATCAGTTTGCATTGAGTTACCACGGTGAACCCATTTCTCATTTTTTTCTTGAGCGATGCAGTGACATATTCTATTATCGCTAAACTATTGCATAACCCGCATGTATCCATAGTCATGCCATTATAATACTTAAAGTACAAGCAGCCTCTCTAATCGGCGGAAACTTTCAGGTTGCCTTCTTAGACGGTCTCTAACATCCGTCCTCATTGATACTCTTGTAATATACCAGCGAATGCAGCAAATATACCGGCCGGAAGTCTCTAACTCTAGAGGCAAACTTGCTACAGTGCGCTTGTGAAAATACGAAATAAAAGCAAAACACGCTATTTCTATAAAATTAGATATAACAGAATTTAATTTGTCTTTTCTCGCATTGAAACCATTTATGATCATGCTAAAGTTAGAGGGCTCTTAGTTGTACCCCCGTTCATAGAAGTTTCTTCCTATACATGGAGCCTCGTAGAATAATTTAGGGTGTATCCGTAATCGTACATGTAGTAATAATAGTAAGTAACACGGCATTACAGATGTCCTTTAACCCGTTCCATCTTACTATACTGCTGTAGAAATTTTGTCGGTTGTCTCTCTCGCTCATTCGTATTTGCTAATCAGTGCTTTCAAGCTGACCATGGTCATTAAGGACATAGGTTTAATTGCTATGAAGATGACAAGAACGATCTTGAAAAAGCTTGTTTAGGTGAACCAACTTTATTCTGGCCATAATCTCCTGGGGATATGATTCGTCCCACTAAAACACGCTTAGAATCCGATGCAGTTACGGAAGCTGCTGGCAGAGAAATCACCGCGGTCGGGCTTGCGGCTGAAATGCCGGTTCTCGTAGTCTTTGACCAGCAGCCGGAGCGGGAGCTACAATAACTGATGCAGCAGAAGCATTAACAGCTGGAGCAGGAGCATTAATTGTAGTCGCTGACATAGACGCTAAAGCGACGACTGTCGCAGGTTTAGAACTGAGAACCTGAGGTGTCTCTGTGCCAGCTTCGCTCACTGGAGCTGCAGCTGCTACAACTGTGCGAATAGTAGTGGGTGTTGCTATGACTGAGTAGGAAAAGTGTTACGTCTTATTTCGGTCTAGGGAGGAGTAGGTGGTCCGCATTCGATTTGTATAATTCTTTCAGAGGGTTGAACAGGTTTTTGTACGTCAAACAACTGGGTGTCACCGTCATGAACAACACGCTCAATATGGACTGGTTCTTCTGATTCCGAAACGATCCGAATTATCCGGGGATCTGGCTCATTCACGTTGACATGTTTGGGCGTTGACTGAGGTCGGTTATGCGAATCAATTGAACGCCAGATTTATACTTTTCGAGGACGATTTTGCCTTCTGAGTTGGTGTGAATTTCATGCATTTTGGGACTAGTTGATCCTGTCACAGTTATCTGGTCCGGCGTAATACCGTTGCTTGTTTGGGTTAAAGCAATAAGACAAGCCACAATCGTTGCACTCACAACTCGAACAGTATGGCCTGTTGTTAGTAGTGATACATTGATTGCTGGAGCTGCATCGTTTGTTGTAGAAATAATGCTATTTATACAGGATGTACAAATTGCGCCAGATACCCCAGTGATACTACTTGTATTTGGGACTGCTACTGATGATTGCATGCCGGGCAAGGTCATCGCACCAGAAACGCTATTGACGGTGGAAACAGCTGCGATCGCCTGGTTCACTATCGGTCAACTTGCAATTTGAGTCACTGCCGGAGCACCAATTCGAACATTTGTTGATACGGGAACTAGAGTAGAGGAAATAATAGGTGAGCTAAGCTGAACTGCGAAAACATAACGTGGCCCCGTAATGCCAATATTTACGGCTGGCGTGCACGTTCGAATCAGGGTTGGTGGTCGGGAATACAGCAGGTACTATGGAGGGTGTTGATACTTTCAGTCCCGGACTATATCGCAGCCTACCCGAGCTAACAGATATCGGCACTGTCGAAGTTCGTGCTTGCGTAAAAGCTGGAATGAAAACCGTCGAACTTAAGGGCGCTGGAAAGTGCGCAGCAGAGGTACAGGGCATATCCAAAATGCCAGTGGCAAGAACCGGGCTGACAACGTGTGTTCTGTACTGGCCCGACAGGCTTCCGGAAGCAGCATTTGCAACTGACATGCGAGTAATAACGAGGCTGTGAATAGGTGGCGCTGCTCGAGCAACAACTGCTATCGGGTTAGCACTGGCATATCGGGGAACTACTCGCGTCATTTCGGGACTGCAAAATTTTATAGCTGCGGGTACGCCGGCGATTGAGCTCGATATAGGTAGGTGCGACAAGCTTCATGAACCCGTTAGAAGATATACCCGTGATAGGTGCTCAATAGCGGGACCCTGGCGTTCGGACACTAAAAACTGGTGAGTCAGGACTAGCAAACGTAAGCGCAGTAGAGTACGCAGTGCGTGTCACCGCCGGAGCGGCAGTCGGTTCTGCGATCCGCGTTAGTATAGCATCTGGGTACGAACATTATGCTGCGCAGGCTTAATAGCTCTAATGCCAATATTAGAAGAACCACTGGTAGCGACTCCTGTTGGAATGAGAACAGGCCTAAAAGCTGTAGAAATCGTGGAAACGGGTGATCCAACGTTGACGTCAACTGGTACGAAGTGAGTAACAACTTCGATGATTTCAGCTGAGGAAACAAAAGGAAAAACATCCCCACAGGGGATGCGGAAACCGCACCTTAAACAAAAGGAAACAAACAAAATAAAACGATTCTCCATGTTTTCAACAAATCAACTAAAAAAATAGATATTACATGGCCACCATAATGCTACAAGCATGTACAACAGTTGGTCTTCAACAAGAACAGATTCAAAATTTCTCGCAGAACACAGAAATGCGGGTTCAAGCCATGCGGTCTTTATGTCTTAGCTGATCTGCTAGAGATGATTGTACCTGCGAGAACAGTAAAGACAGGCTTGTCTGTTACACTTGGACCAGGAGCAGAAGCTTTTGATACTGATAGGATAGTCGGACCTCGGACGGCCGCCACAGTTGGATCCTGAGCGAAAATTTCTGAGACCGGACGAGTCAGAGTCGCAACAACTCTTGTTGCCGCCGGAGCGACTGCCGAATGTACGAATTCTTGTCATGGTCGAAACTGGAAATTCGGGCGTGGCCGAAGATTTCCATAGTCGGGACAGTAGTGATGGCTCGTCCGAGTTGGGGCGCAAAAACATTAACCCATGCTACGCAAGCCGGTGATATGAGATGTAGAACTATAAGACCTCGAGTCGCTATTTTGGGCACAGCCTGGGCAAGGATTGCAACTTTCGTTATAGAGATAGGCGTAGCTCTACTGGCCACAACGGGGACATGAGTGACAATGGCCCTAACAGATGGTGCTGCAACTGCCAGCTTTGATGTAATGACAGTTCTTGATACGGCAGGTGTGGCCACCTGTGACACTATCGGTGGTGGAACTGGAATCTGCACTTTTCTTTGCTTCGTAATAGCGTGATCTGTCACTGTTGGGGTAGTAATTCGAGTCAGAAGTGGGTTAATGGTTTGACAAGAAAACACGCTGGTAACTGAATGGACAGGGGCAATTTCTTGAGTAACTACTCTCGCCATTTTTGGTAATGGATGATTAGCTACCGTAGAAAACGTCTTGAGAAGGTATTGAGATTTTGGAGGATTTTTTCGAATCAGAATAGCCAGCGATCGAAGTGGCCCCAGAATATGACGAACTGACAAGAGAAGGGCTCAGGGGAGTTGCAATACGCGTGATTACAGGGGATGCTATAAATGAGGGGGCGTGCGGTACTACCTGGTGAGGTACAGCGAAGGAGATTTGAGAGCAAGAGCTTGTGTTAGTCGCGGTGATTCTATGGGGCGACGCAACGGGCGCACGAACTATGTAGGGATCTACTGACGGTAAAACGGCGCGCCCTTGCTCGGATTCCGGTTACCACATATGAGGTTCGCAAAGTCGGTGTAACAACTCGAGCATTTGATATAGCCACACGTGCCAAAGGTTTTATGACACGAGGCGCAAAGCCAGCTAATGCCGGTGCAGAAGCCACTTTTGTGGAAACTAGTGGCAATTTGACCATCGAGATAGGGTCAACAGCCAATGGCACGTTTGAGACGGACATCACAGACTGACTGACATGCACAGGAGGAACCTCAATTGATGGTGTAACATGACGGGGCACGGTTGTCATGATTTAACCCACAACGGGTGTATGCACATTCACGACCAGCCTTGGGACTTCGACAGTGAGAGGCGCTGGAATTACCATGTTTTTAACAGTTGGAAGCTGTCTGATCATTGCACTCTGATCTTGTGAATATAAAGATCTAATCCCATTCACAGAAACGGTAATACCAGGTTGGTGCGCAAGTCGATAAAGGAGCGGATGTGGTGGTATGGTGCTATAGCTCACATGAGTTTTCACGCGTGACACGGTTCCGATGATTTCGGCTGTCTGAGTGTGAATTAGTAGTCTGTTCGGACTCTGAACAGCAGCCGTATGACAGGGATCGTAGCGAAAAATATTGACGACTGCATTGGGGATTGCCGGCTCAGAAAGGCCTCTAGCACTTCCAGCTAAGATAGACTTAATGTGATTTTCGTATACAGGTCCTTTAACAAAAGTCGTCACACCTTGTCCAGCTAGAGGATATTGATAGGGGTTGCCAATAATCTCTTTAGCTCCTTTTGGCCTAAAAGGCAATCAACTGCCGCATCTCCGATGTCTCACACGCTTAAAGGTCTAAAACAGTTTAGTCCATTTTTACACCGAACAATCGTCTTTCACGTGACGCCTTAAAATGCCTCCAGCCGAAATATATAACCGATACGTGCATGAGTGAAAAAAACGAAGTCAAGCGTAGTCTACGCTGCGCAGACGGCATTTATAATAAATCCTGTCACCACCTATAAACATGTAAGTGATCAGACGTGTTGTTCTCTCGTCCTCTTCTCAATGCTGTACGTGAAACACTGATGCTACTTCTTATCAACTTCCCCTTGCGACTGCTGTACCATTGATACGGATGCATGTAGCACCAGCCTATAGCTGTAGGTCGGATCTGGACGGAATAATGAAACGAAATCCGCAGCCAATAGCAAGATACAATAATCGATATATGTAAGGCCTGGTTGTAGCGTGATGACCATGGCGGCAGTGGCCACACAACGAGACGCGCAGACATTCGTTGTTAGCGGTCGCTCGGCACATATAGCATACGCTAGCCAGCATTGACGAGTCGCTAAGGCTACAGAAAACACGAATACAAGACAACGCCACCGTTGAAGCTGCTTTTGTTGGCGCTATATTGACACAGTTGATATTATCTGAAGCCATTTGTTTTGCTTCAATTAACGAACGCAACAATCCAGCTGAGATAGCAATGATAGGCTGGTGTGTAGGTGTACCTAAATATTCACTAGATTTACTTCATTGCCCGATGTGTAAAGGCATGACAATGACTTCGAGGACGCGACAAGCACACGACGTATATGAGGAATCCAGAGTGTACAAGATAGCCATCAGCAATGCGGAGTGGTGGCATTTCGGAATGGGAACCAACAATCCAGGACACCCGCTATAGTAACTCACGTATGACGAAAGACACTTTGATGCACGGCCAAGGTGATACGTTCTAAGATCATTCGTCTGGCCATTTCAGAGGCACAGCTTGCTAAAAAAGCTCCGATAGTCCAATCGGTGTGGATCAGCGTTTCGCCGGTCTATAACACGAATCATTCTGTGTTTTATTTCTAATTTATATGTTCTAGACGTAATCTAAATATTGCTGCCTGTATCCTACATCGATTTGCGCTGCAGAGCGTCATATGTACGAGTAAATTACGTGCTTATCGTTTGATGCACGAACTTATCATTTCAAGCCCTGTGAACATGTAATAATGTTTTTTTACGATAAAACATTCGTATTTATTTACCGAACGAGCAGTTGTGAGATAGGTAGGAATTACTAAGACATTTGGTTACTCGATTTTGTTACATTTTAAAGCCAGGGTCGCTAGTGCTATTATGACATTCGAACTATGAACGTAAATGTAATGAGGGTCTTTGGGGTAGCTCGTCGTCTGCTAGACGCATCTATTATAAGCTGGATAGTATCGTAATGAAACTATCTAGATATATATATACGACGTTGCTAAATTAAGAGCTGATTAAACAAAAAGCATTGAATAGGTCGAATGCTGTTGGGCAAAACAAATACCCCATCTAACAATAAAGCAAGCCGCTCGTCTAATTTAAAATATTGCCAAATGCAAAACGGACAATAGAGACCCATGTCGATGAAAACGCATTTGAAATTTGGCGGGAAAGCCGCCAAGAAAGAAAGCGCTTAAATGATTATATAGATCAATCATCTAGTTGATTAGAACGATGACGATCTGCAAACTTTTTAAGAATTTTTCAATACTTTATTATTTCTGCCGTTGTTTGTTGTTGTTATCTGTTGTCTGTGATCAATTAACAAAATTTCTATTCGTATATAATGATAATTACTATTACTCATATCTGCTGGTATGCATTACTTTATAGTCTTGCAAAAGATGGCAGTCTTGCCGGACGGGCCGCGCGTCTAAAACAGCTTAATTTTTCAATATAACGTAATTCGGCCTATTTCTTTCTTTGCATCGTTTCTCGATTTGTTAGAACTTGCGCACTTTCCGGTTAACTCGTTACGCGATAATTACTTCCCAGAAACGTCAAAGATTCGACATGGGAAGGGACCTCAAATAGCTTCATAAAGGCTACATTATTTTGCTTAAGACACGCGGCTCGACGTCGCATACGCTGGTATACAGATGATGGCTTCTCCGGTCGAATTTTTAATAATTTAATAAAGTACTGCGTTTTGGCGTTTTTCTCGTTTGATGATTACCTGTAGTATTATAACTTATTTGTAGTATTATAACAGTGATTTTTCACCGCTTGTCTGTAATGTATTGTGTTACATTTGTTACCGTTATAATTACCTTAAATATTGTGTTTTTCCCTTTATCGTGGTCATGCCTTTTCTTTACTATTCTAAATTATCTATAATAATAATAATCATCATTTCATCGTTACTTATTCATCATTTCCTTCATCTAGACGTGTGCCCTACGCGCGCATTGAGGCAGGGTATGGCCCTTGATTCAGTTCAGTTGGCTCATTGAAGCTCATCTTGAAACCTTGCTAATAGGAAAATTTTCACTATGAAAATAGAGGAATAGAAGCCATTCGAAGCCTGACGGAGTGCTTATTGTTGACTGGTGATACCGTTAATAGTCCCAAGCGTAATTACCACGACGACGACTATCTATCGTGGCTTCCCAATAACTGTTTACACCGCAACAAAGGAATAAAAAAAATGGCCTATTATCGCAACCCACGTTCGATCGTGATCGCCGCATTCTTATTCATCTCGCTCCTGATCTATTATCTTGGCCTTGTATTTATTATCCTTTGGACATTTCCTTGTCCCCTGCGCATCAGCGGTAGTAGACGATTATGGCTTACATTGAAATATCAGTGTTTTGAGAAATTTGGCCTATTTCTTTTTTCTTTTGAAGTGTATTAACGGCCCATTGCATTAGTCTTGGTTAGGGTGATCCGTTTGTTTAGAAAAATCGGGGTCCGTAATTGTTGATCGCGGTGAGTTTTGTATCTTGTGTTCGTCACCGCTTCTTCAATATGCCTATAGTTACTTTTCATGCTAGTTTCGACTTGATTGGTATCAATCAGTGCTGTTCTTGTTAGCCCGTGAATCTGTTTACATGTTCGTTCTGCCTGTTTACCTTTATGTCTTTAGCCGACGTCGTTATTTTTGAACGAATATCTTTCTTGCGTCCTGTCACGCGCACTCTTTCGCTCCCGCTTTCGCCCTCTCGCTCTAACTAGCTGCTAATTTATACTATAATAATAATAATAATAATATCAATGGTTGTAAATTGTAGTAATAGTGGTACTAGTTGACGTTGGAGGCTTTAGTTTGCGGAAGAATGACGGTAGTAGTTCATGACGATAAAGATCGTTGTTTTTCTTTGCTTAGTTTTTTTCACGCGATCTATGAAACCGGTATTGGATTGCCTGCCAGGAAAACGTCCTGTGCTTAAGTCAACGCGAAATTCCGTACGGGGGTTTGTAATCACTAAGTCGCTTGGTTGCTGTGTTTTGTGATAGCTCTTATGAGAGATGCTGTGAATCATAGATCTCAGCGTTAGGTACCAGTAATCAAAGTAAGTATTAAATAGCGTGCTTAAGCAGACATTGCTTGCTGGTAGATCGGCGACTAGAGTCAGCTCGTAATCTCTTCCGTTCGTTTTTTTATCCTATTCCTCTGCTCAGCTATTACTTCGTACTGTTATTACTATTATAAACGAGCTCAATAGAGGTTCGGCCTCCCGCTTAAACAAACTCTCTATACTCATTATAATATATATGCGCATATGAATATATGCATCATGTCTTAGTTTCTCTCTCTAAATATAATAATAATAGCAGCATGCAATGATGTATACTGTCAATGTATCCTGGTATGGAAGAGGTTCAAGATGGTTTCGCATATTTCGATTGTATCCCTCATTGTCATCCTCATAATTGGTGTCGTTTAAAAAATGCTGTGTGTTTGTGTGTGTAAAAGCGGAATAAAATCACGGGTTTTTTTCAAAACAGGTGATATTTTTGGGGGCACACCAGAGGTTTTTACTAACGGTGAAAATTACATGTTTATGAACGTACAGGACTATAATAAAACCGTTAATTTTTATTTCAATAATAAATTAGTGACTGAAATTGGACCGTACGTACGTTCTCCATCGTCAACTGAATAACAGACATCATCACTGCGCCCTGATCAAGGATTGGTTAGCCAAATACATACATGTATCTTTTTCAACTACTATTAACAAGTAGCAGCTATTTAAATCTTTTTACTTATGCCTACAATAGAGCGACACTTTTAAAAGTGATCTAGATCATGTCCGAATTTTTCTATCGGCTGTTGATCTTCACCGGTTACTTTAGCTAGGTCGTTTTCGATGATCTTTGCCTGTAGATCGCTTGTCCGTATAGGACTTCGGTAGCCTGGAAATGAGCTCGACGCAACCAGTGACCGCTGAAAAAAGCCCATTGGGCTGTTTTTTTTGGGCCTACGTGTCGTCGTATGCTACAGTACAATATCATAATTACTCGTCATCATCTCGATTACTGTGACAATCAAAACATGCCGATTGAGTCACCCAGTGAGTTGAATAGCCGTTGTTGACATTCGGGGCGGAAACTCGTGCTGTCAGCGTCAACCCTGTAGGCGGAAGACCACTCCGGCTTGGGTACACGTATGCTCAGGACCGGGTTCAATGGACTGTGTTGTGAATGCAAATCAGACAATAACAAGTCACTCTGCATGGTGTATGCTCACATATTGTTACTCTGATGTGCGCGTAAGTATCTGCTAAGAGCATTGCGGTGCAGCTGTTGTGTACGGTATTCCTCACCAGGGGCTTCTATGTGGCTACGTTTTGAAATATTGAATTGTTGTCATCGTCGTCGTCGTCGTCTTCGACATGTTGGAACAACCTTGGACCTATAGCGCGTGCTTAATATACGATAACGGGACTAGGTACTGTGGATGAAATGGAGCAAATTAAGAAGAAATAGGGTAATGAAAGGTACGTGGTCGCGTACTATGCGCCATTTTTTTTATCAACCTATGAGAAGACTGCTTTTGTATCCGTGCCGCTTACAGTCACAGCTGGACTCCAGCGCATTACTTCAATATTTTTTTAGAATATTTAGTACCGAGACATGGAGCTGAAAGAAATTAACCTTTCGCTCTAACCGTTCCAATGCCGTTATCAAACAATGGGCGCACATATGATAATAAAGAACAAAACAAAGAGATAACAAGCCCTATCTAAATAGAGACCTATAATGTTTCAAATGGGCAGCGTTTTTGAATACAATTAAGTATAGAAAATAGTTATTGTTTTAGAGATTATTTTTTTTTTGGCCCTTACCCGGCAAGCGAACGACGCCAATGCCAAGACAGCTGCTAACAAAATAAACAGACGACCCGTTGAAGTTTAACTTTTCGAAGGAATAGCTGTGATGATTTCATACACTCTATCTGAATCTGAAAAAAAATTCTATTGATACAGTATGACGAGATTTTGGATCGAAGGAGGAGTAAGTTACGGATCAGTTCGGCTCTGTATAGGTAACGTCGTTCTGTCTGGCTATCCCCTTAAGTCGAATAGGTGCTTGAGGTACTCTACTGGGCGGGAGGCGCCTCCTCTTCTTGCTGCGTATCAGAGGTCCACAGCGTGAGGTTATCGCGAAGCAGTTGCATGATAAGCGTAGAGTCTTTATACGATTCCTCGTTGAGCGTATCCAGCTCCGCGATGGCGTCATCAAACGCCTGTTTCGCCAGGTGGCAAGCCCGATCCGGCGCGTTCAGGATTTCATAGTAGAATACAGAGAAGTTCAACGCCAAACCCAATCTGTGGTGAAAAAATAATAAATGCAAAGTTCTGATAGTAAGTGATAGTGTAAATAAATGTTCTTATATAATGAAATGATGATGATCAGTCTTTTTTAACCTATGCGTATTCTACTTCCTTGGCTAAAGGGTTAGCAAGAGTTAACATTGGAAATCGTTTGCCTCTCTGACCAATCGTTGTTACCCAGAGGTAGCCTCCTTTGATCGAAGCGTTTAGATCACAGTCTATCATATTCTAGGTAACATCCAGCGTCTAATATCAATAGTTATTTGAAGTTTTGATCACAGTGTATTTACAAGAGTTTATTCGTTTTATTGAAATATGTATACGACTGAGTTGACCCGTATGGAAAATTTCAAAGGTACGAACACTAGCTAAATATCAACAGGTCATAAATATAGGCAATAATATAATTGTAAAGGAAAACTTCACTGAAATTTTGCTTTCACTGACTTCACACAAGCATCAGATAATACTTTGCTGCATCAGAAAGGTGGATCAGGGAGTATTATTATGAGCGATGCCGCTTAACACCGTGGAGCATTCAAACTAATTACTACAATTTACCGAGCTACTCGACTACATTATACAAATATGTTGATTTTTTTTATTGATATAGAAGTACTTGAAGGGTTCGGCTGGAAACAGGCTCAGTCAGGCCATTAATACTTGAAATGTTCGGACAAACCTTATTGGGTGGGTCGGCTGCATCTTACTCTTGGCCATTTCGAAGGCCTCCTGATACGCCGTCTGCGAGTTGTTGACCACCTCCTCCCGGCTTGCAGGTTGTGCTACCTCACTAAGGTAGCGGAAATAATCGCCTTTCATTTTTAGGTAGAAGACCTTGGACTCAGCCGAGCTAGACTTTGGGATGAGGAAACCGTCCAAAAGGGCAAGGACCTGCGAAGAGTATTAAACAGAAATTGACGTACGTTGAATTCACGTATATGGTGAACACGAAAATATAAGCCATATAGGGTACTACTGTTCTATTAGTGATCCATGTTAAAATACGGACACACACCCTTTGTGTTAATAAATAATTTGTACCGGCATGCTGTACGACAGTATCTGTTATTGTTTTTGAAAGCTGCCTACATCTGTATTCCGATAACGAAGTTTCTAATGCTAGCGAAACGCTTGGGCCGCACGCCGATATGCCAAAATACATAGCTTTTGGGAAATATATTATATACTTCTGTAGAGGTTAAGGAGTAGAGAAAGGCATGTTTACAATTCTTCAATACGCGGTTTAGCTTTACTACCTGATTGCAGATATCCTTCAGTTCCTGTTCGACTTTGAGTTTGTATTCTCCGGCGATCTGTTGCTGGTTGGCCTGTGAGGTCTTTGCCTCAATCGAGGAAATTACGCGCCAGGCGGATCGTCGAGCTCCTACTACGTTCTTATAGGCCACCGAAAGAAGATTCCGCTCTTCATTAGACAGCTCCGTAGCACTGCCTTCGGTTAACTCCTTCATTGCGCTAGCCATATCATCGTATCTATTTAAAGATAAATTAAACAAAAAGAAGCAAAATATTTTATCGACATACATTTAATATATATTATTTAACACTAAGTACCCCCTATAAGGGCGTGCGGGGTAAAATGAAAATATGGACCATACGATGATATAATTGTATCGTTGATAAAGAAGTCCTTACTTAGTTGGTTCCTTATTTAAGTTAACGCCTAGTATGGCACACTACCTGTATATTATTGAATAACGTATGTGAATCCATGAAAAGCATAGAAATCAGTTAGAATGAGGATAATCTGACCTCATGTGATAGTATTATCTTAAAAGTCTGTTAAAGGGAACACATCAGCCATTATTATTATAATATTTATAGTAATATATAAGAGTCAGTATATACAGAGAGAACAGTTAGTTTGTAGCTTGTGCTATATATTACGTGGAGGCTATTCCGCTACAGCCCTCAGTTACCGCGCGTTCCGAATTGCAATAAAAGATTTTCACTGGCGAGGGTCTGTGCTTTGTGCTTCAAAAAAAAAAAAAAAAAAAACGAAGCTTAAAAAGTCGTATTCAATATATTATGTATCTTCGGAAAATCTTATGTATCTTACTAAAAACCACATAATTGTTTAATTTTGCTGCATCCTTAGCTTAAGAGCACCACCACCCGAATTAATAAACTTCCAAGGCTAAATTACGATATCATGCCACGGACCGGTCGCACTAACTTGATAAAGACACAAAAAAAAAATAGTTGGTGGAACCTTCGATGAAATAACGTGAGGTAAATGTGCTGCTCCCTTCAAAGGGAATGCGTCTTCACTGCCATTGGCTTAAGTGTGGAAGTTAGGAGACAAGGTAGCCGCTGGAATAATAACAATGGAGTACGGAAGCAATGAGTTCCTGTACGGACACAGCGAACTTGGTAATGATCAAGTCTTCGTCAAAACGCTAGAAAGAAGGGTCACCGCAGTGGTTCGACGAAATATGCCGGTAATATCAGCTAACTTCTAACGAAATAAGTTGTATAGGCCTCCCTTTTTTTTTCAGCGACGCTCGTCACTGAAAGTATGATTGCGTTTGTTAGAGTTTAAGCAAAATCACGACCTCTTATTCACACGCTTTGCAACCTTTTTTTTTTTTCATTGTGCCGGACTGTCTGCGGGTCCGTTCATTGCTTCAAGTTTTCGCTACAAATTAAATGAGTGAGATATTGCAAATACTCCAAAAGATGTACAAGTATACGTTCAGCGGCTCCGAGCGCAACAATAATCGTCTAACATCCTTGTAAATTTTTGACGGTATTTCTATTTAGAACCACATATTTATTTGGCTTCGGGCAATTATTTGAAATTGATAGCGTTATACGTTGAGCAAGAGAGTTAAAATATAAGAAAGGACGCATTTTTGCACAAGACTGTCAATATAATAATAATAACAATAATAGATGTGTAATGTCACATGCTTTATACGTTGTTCTGCGGGTGGACGTCCTGTCAGCGACTAGGTAAATGTCAACCAGTGATTCGACCCTCTTCGGGTCTAAAGAACCGCGTGTTTTAAAGTTACATAGTATTCCCGGGTGTTACAATGATACATTTGAATATTCACCCTACCCCAAGTTCGCCCACTTAGGTTAAGGGTAGTACAAGGTTAGGCTTACTGTACAAATTCAAAATGAACTGCAACCTACTAAAACATTTATGCCAATGCACGAATAAACATTAGTATACAACACAACTCACGTGATGGCTATATAAGTAGATTTCCGATGAGGAATAATATCTAGCAGCCGTTTTTCTTTCCTCTCAGAAAGAGCCCTTCACTACACTGAAGGTTACTGAAGAGATTTTCACTTGTACATGATGCACGTTTAGAAGTGCTCGATGTTCGACGGTATGACTCGCCAAAAAAATCCTATACTTCACCTCCTAACTAAGTGTCTACTTGGAACTACATAAGGTAGAGTTTTGTAAAAGCTTCTTCATTCTATTCATGTTTATTCATCCTCGCTTGGCAACAAAGTGCTGTGGTCGTTAGATGAACTCGATGAAGTCGTACTTGTTACATAAAAACTCTTATAAACAAAATATAGATTTGTCCCGCCGATTCGATGGACTAAATCACCAGCGACAGTAGCAACAAAAGCAACATTTACGATCGCCGACTCGTCATCTGCGCTTGTATTCGATGAGTAGTGTTCACGGACTTAATAGCTGCTGACGTCAATAGATCTTGGAGTCGGTTTTCCTCCTTGTAGCTCTGGAATGGCATATTTAAGCATGTGAGCATGAGTGCATGTATGTAGTCGCTGTCAAACATGTTGCAGGGTTTGATAATCGCAAAAACTGATTCGTTCGTGGCCTAGGAGCTGGAAAACACAAATATAGCCAGACCGGAAGTAATAGTGGGGCCGTTCGGTGAAAATGCGCACGGAAAATGGGAATACAGAGTGTACACTCTGTACAGCGTTCAACCAGCTTAACTATGGCGGAAATAGGTCAGAGAGTTTTTGAAAAGATTTGAGCGGATCCGTTTTAATAGAAATGTAAAACGTAAGGAGCTCGTACACTAGCAGCAGGCCGAAGCAGAACCCATTGTTTCAAAACGTGAGAAAAGTGGGCGAATACCATATCCAATCAAGAACGAATAAAGATATGAAATGTTCTATTGCCATAATCAAACATCGACCCTCGTCTTCAATCAAGCTTTTTTAACTCAGTGTCTCTCAGTGCATGCTCGAAATGGCGTGCTCTTCAAAGGAGGGAAATCAAGTATCTTTCGTCCCTTATACCCATCTCTAATTTTTATTGCGACGTCGGTACAGAAGGTTGAACTTGGCTAGCACAGACCTCTAATACACGAGGGGATTGTTCGGTAGCGAATCCATTGTACGGGTCTCCGACCGGTATTCTGTGCGTCAGAAGCGACGTGCCTCGAATTTCTATAAACGTCGAGGCCCCCCTGGATTCGTCTTGCATACTGCCGAGCTTCCAATGCTATATAGGCGGTCAGGAGGCGCGTGGACAAGGCGGCGATCACCGCTATTGCCACTTCTGGGGCAATACAATGAATGGAGCAGCGGGTTAGTCAAATAGAGATTGTCGGTCAAATGACCTATTTAGAAGAACTGAGGAGATTGAGGTTTGGAGACAAATGCTACTTTCCTCATATCCGTAATATGCGTGACTGTATTTCGGTGTGGGCATCGCTTCCTATCACGCTTGTGATAAGAAGTTAAACGGGGAAACATCTCAGCCCGCTACAGAATGCTGATCTGTTAGGGAAGTTCATTATGCTAACTTTACGAAATTTGCCATCCAATACAGAAGAATGTAATTGAACTGTCTTTATGAAGTTAGTAAAAATACGAAATTATATCTGTATGTAGAAGCGAACGGATGCCAATCGAGCTGTAAGATTTGTAAGATACGCCATCTTGAAATATTCAGTCACTATTAATTAATAGGGCACATCAAACTACGTTCGGTTCAATGTGGTGCAAAATTGAAGTTTGAAACATTAGAGGGCCAAGAAGCTCAACGATGGTTGTATGAAGAAAAAGAGTGGACTTCGAAGGCGCAGTATAGCTGAAAGAAAGTGCCCTATTTAAATTGTGCTATGACGTTGTGATAAACGTTGTGTGTAAACTGCCAAGTGTAGCACAGTAAAAGCTTGACCTGCTAATCCGCCAATGAATTAAATTCTAGCTGATTGATAGGCAGTTCGTCTCGTCCGACCTTTGAGACAATGCAATGTTATCTGCCAAAAAAAATCACATTGCCCTATTATATTTTGAACGCGGCATATTTTCTTCGGGTAGCCGACACACTCCGTTCGATGTTGAGTTACCCATCGTCGCCATAGAGCGTACATATCTGTTGTGAAGGCTCACACAATCCTCAAATATCCCCAAACACAAAAATGTCGTTTCTAAGACATATTAGTGGATTTACATAGCGTGTATCGAAATTTTCGGAACTTTCGTGCTGACTGACTATGTGTGTCGTTGGCATCGGTCAGTCCTCCGCCGAATGTTGAGTGCGTCTTCGTCCATTCGCTTGCGTTACTACCACGAATTTCGCAGTCGGCACGCGGCGTCATAGAGCCACCGTAGTTCTGTTGCGAGCGGGAAACACAGTATGTTTGTCGGTCTGTGGGTACGTATGTGTGCGTGATGTGTCCAGGCCCGTTCTTGTCGCAGGCACCAAACGAATGACGCTATTTAGTGGCCTTCGTGCAAAGGGCCATCGACAGGTCACCAAAGCGGAACCCTCGGGACGGGGAGAAATAGTGAGTGCGATCGGCGATCACTGTATGACCAGTCAGTTGGCGATGAACCACATCAGACTAGAGGCATCATGGCTTAATCGTCCGGCAACTGGTGCACCCAAAAGCTATACTATTTAGTCACTATGTAACAAAACTAGTATTACAGAACTTTTAGCTTCTTTAGATATTTATATGTATTCATGTCAAATAATGGTGCAGTTGCCTCATACATCTCAATGTATACGAACTTCAAGACGTCTATTAATCCAATGTTTTATTCAATCCGCAATAGCTACTTAGAAAAATCGTACTTATACGAAAAATGTAAAGTTACGCGAGAGATTCATTCATATTCCTACTAATCTATATGCATTTATCCATTTTTTTCATGTTCGATCATTCTATGAACAGCAAGAGAAGGTGGGCATGCTGTGTTTCGCTATTTTGGAACCTCTTGCAAGTTCTTTTACGTATGTCTCTAATGATTTGCGAGCAGAACACTGTAAATAGCAGCTTATTTACTGCAGGCATGATGCTACGTGCAGGATACAACTACCCTCAATCGTAATGCCGGCCAGAGTCGTCGCCTAGTAACAACAGGTCGAGGCTACCTAAATTTTAATGGCGTAGTAAAAGGGTATGGGGTACGATTTGGCGGGGAGAGCAGAAGCATGATTTCAACACTACCATCGGCAGCAGCAAATACGTCCTGACCACTTATCCTGCTTCGTACAGCTGATTCTGCTGTAAGTGTAGTTTGATATCTGTGCACACGTCGTTATCTGTGCCTGTATGTTATTCCGGGTTTTAGTTTTACGTTACACTCAAGTGGAGATCGAGCACCGCGGCGCCAGCCGGTTCATTGGTCTATAGTGTCTCAAAGCAACTTCACGATTTGCTCCGCGTAAAGGCTGTATTGGGAGTCTGGAGAAGGGGAAATTGAGCTCATGGAGAAATAGGGTAATGGCTCTAGCGGAGGCTAACTGCAGCCATCTGACTTAGAAGAGCAGTAGAGGCCCCAATGGTAGATCGTGAATCTACAGACAGTGACCATCAACCCCTTACTATCACACATGAGCAACTCTGCCATCGCGTTCTAGACACGCCGCTAAGTCGCCTTCGTGTGCCTTTCCGCTTCCGGTTCCCATTACTGCGGTATCACTGAATATGTATAGTATATGATTTATACAAAACCCTTACGAAGTTTAGTATTGCAAAGTGGTAATAGTTTGTAAGGTGCACTCAGCTAGGTACGTATTTGCATCTGTTAAATTGTGCAACTTAGTGAATAGCTCTAACCAGCCGCCTAGAACCATACCGATCTAGAGAAAGCTAGAAAAATATTATACAGTGCTTCACATAAAGGCAAATATTAGAAACGTTTATTTTTCAGCTTCAAGCTAGCTGGGTAGGTCGAAGAATGACGTCGACCTGCGGCTAACTCTAGCCCAACGGCAACGCTTTAATCTGCATAAACAGTTATGAGATCGGAAAAGAATCTTTCACAAGGGCGGGGGCGAGGTGGGCATAATAGACTGTATCGCACACAGACACACTCACGACGTAGAATCACTTTTACTAAGCGCGAAAACAACGAACAAAAGAGTAGCGTAAAAAAACCAGGTCCCCTAAGCCAGGATAATTTGTAATCTCGTTATTGTTACCAGTGGCTGTCTTCAGCGAGCAAGTCGGCCTTCTGTTCTGCCACATTTAACAAAAAACGATGACACATATTCCCTACACACATGCAAACACATGTGTGTGTGAACGAGTGATATCTATATATCATCGGGCTCATACCCTGCTCTTTAATCAGACGCTATCCAAACTTAACGGGGCTATTTTTTGTCACTCCCTCCGAATTCACCTTTATATATTATCTAGCTACAAACAAGCTCTTGCTATGTCGTATACAAGGTCTATGCATCTGCGTAGGGCGTACATCAATTACAAAGTAGGTAGATAGGTCCGATAGTGCCACACGTATATAAGACTATCATGAAGCTTATTAATAATAATTATCCATTATTATTATTTTTAAACTGATCTTGTTTAAACGCTTCTTTATTTCGTCGAAACAGCAATAACAGGTGAAAGGAGAACGGGTTTTTTCTCACCTTTCGGCATGTTCGGCTAGCTTCGCCAGCTGAACGAGCTTCTCGCGATCGGCCATGGCTTCTTCCTGCCGTTGGAACTCGTCGGCTGTACGACAACGACGGCTGATGAATGAACGTTGTGCGTTTTAACGTAGTCTTTGCGTACCAACTTCCACTATTACGACGACCTCACTGACGCAAACGTCGCCCCACACTTTACGCCTCTGTTCACGGCCGTGTGTGCTCCGCCCGATTTATCGGTCACTCACGACGCAACTCCTGTACACGCAACTTCACGATCGTCCTGTAGGGAGTAATCGTAGCAGCAGCGGCTCGGAAATCCTTTTAGGTTTTGTTCTCTCGACGGAATCGCCTCCGCCACCTGCGCTGCCGTCGCGCAGCCGCTGCCACCGCTCAAAGCACACAACGCAACGTGTCTCGGTCAACCAGCAATTCTTCTTCACCCTCACAAAGCGTCACTGCTGCTGCTGCTGCTGCTGCTGCAGGCGATAGTTGATCGTTATAACGCAATTCTCAAAACTCTCACAGCTCGAGAGGGATGACTTGGCCGGTTCAGTTGTCGGTGGGTGATAATTCGTCGATGAGGCTGCTCGCTGCTCGGTTCTTTGAGTCGGCTGCCGTTCTTCGCAATTTACCACTATCTCGTCGTTTCAGTTTGCTGCTGCTGTTGCTTCAGGACCAGTCGACCAGACCAAAGCGGACCAGGGTAGAGCAGCAGCGGCGACGGTGGCTTACGCATGCAGTCGGCCAGAGTCAGGCAGGCGAGCACCAACGAGGCAGGTCACTCGTTGGGGCCACTGGAGATAGAGAGCTGGCTGGGGCAGTGGCTGTGGCGGCGCTGATGGTAGTAGCAGGCTGACGAGGGAGTGTAAAGGACGACAGGATGGCGTACGCGAGCAGAGAAGCAACCCAGTGTTGAATGGACGCCAGATCGTCTTGCAGCCACCGCTAGGCCAGAGACCGGCCGACCGCTAGACAGGACCCCGCTCAGGACCAGTGCAAACCGGTGCCCTGCGCTCAGAACCCGAGCGTTTGGCCCTCTGGGTTTGACTGGCCGGGCCGTGCAGACAAACGCAGAACCGGCTCCGCTTAGGGCCCTCGCACCGCCAAAGCACGAGAGGGCGGAAGGGCCGTACCGGGAAGGAATGTAAAGGGCCAGGCAAACTCGATTCCAATGCAATGCTGACACCTCTCTTAGAATCTGCATCTCAGGTGTAGACATACACACGCACACACATAGACACACATTCATAGACACGGCGTGAGTTGCTACAACGGCGTGGTAAGAATGACGCGGCCATCACGAGCATGACCAGCGACATAAGCATCTAAAGGTGGGCTACTAAGAAGCAACCGACCTAGAACCGAGACCAGAGACTTGGTGCGGGTTTTTCATCTGGAGCAGTAGGAGTAAGGTGAGGAACGACTCGACAGACTCAGCTAGATGGCGCTCCGACATTCGTCAAAACTGATCGTATTATGTAAACGCTGTACACTTTTTGTCATTCAAGCTTTTCTAATAGTTAGTATTAATGAACCTTTTGTTATTTTCGGTGTTTGGGGTTCGTGCCAAACCCTTATTAAAGAGATGAACAACGAAAAAGCGGTCTAAAAGCACCATCCAACGGATCCGAATATTTTTCCTTATCGACTAGCGGATTTTGTCACAGAATCTAACTGACAGCGTTACGGCGGCTCTTTCCGGCGTGGCGGCCGGCAGCGAATGTGACAGCTAGCGGTTACCTCCACTGAAACGCTACCAACGTGGAACGACCTGTGGTACTAAGTTCTAGCAGCAATACTGGGTGCTGTGCATAAAGGTGTAATTCTTTGTGTGTCTACTAGTGTATTAACGGATGCCTTTTAACCGTCTATTAATGGACGTGCAGATCTTTGGGCGCACGTGCAGTTGGAACTATCAGAAAACCAAACGATTTCAGCCCCCAAGGCCCCCATCGCACAGCCAACGACCATTTTCCGCGTGCTCAAACACGCTCGGTAATGTGAACAAATTACTCGGCTATCGAAAAGAGCACGCACGTGCGTGCGTTTCACTGCCTGATAGAGAGACCAATTATGTCTATTAATAGAGGTGCGTCTTTATGAGCCCAAATTTAAAAACGTGTATTGTCTACCTGGAGATGTCAAGTTGGATTCATGCATTCGTGACAAGGTTAGATAAATAAAAGGGTTAATCACACTATTACTAATTGTTCAGTAAAATTGTGTGTAAATACGAAAGGACTCTTCAAGAAATACAAATAACTGATGTAGTTGGTGGCTTCTCGATGGTGATTAGAGTTTGTTTAGTCATCTTGTGGTTGAAATTCACGTATTTACATTAAGAAAAAAGAGCCACTACGAAATATGTAGGATTTTCATCTGACTTTTGCTTGACTCAGTTACGTTTACGTTATTTAAACCAGTGTCGGTAAAAGCCATTCGCTTTAGAAAGCATTTGTAGAGTATTAATTGTACTTGAAACATCTATAGATCACGATCGTAAATCCTTTATCAGGAAACCGTTACTCGTTACTATGGGTACCCCTTAGAGACGTACACTGAAACGGATCCTTTCCTATCAAGTGCTTTTACTCTCTTTATCCTGCTCTACCATCTTAGGGTTTATATAAATTACAACAGAAGGTCTAGTTAAGAAAGCCTCTTACTACAACGTCCCAGCCACCAGGTTTCCCCTCTGTTGCTTTTCGTAGAGGCTACTTTTGACTTGCTGAGACCGATGGACACGGAATCAATCCCAACTAACGCATCGAATCAAACAGTATTATAGCTTGCCTAACAGCCATTACTTCAACGGTCTGTCATCTTCTGGGGAAGTTCGACTAAACAAGAAACTCTTCGTTTTATCCTCCGGATGGTTAACTTCTTACTAACGATTGTTGGATCTAACTGGCAACAGAAGCCATCGCATAGGTTCGTAGAGAAGTGCATTCACGTTTACTGCATACAATTTTCGTTTTTATATAACGGTGCTGTACAATATTAACGAAACTCGTTTCTAATTATCCAGAATTCGTATCTTAGAGAGAAGGCTCGAATGTAACATGTTGGAAGTAACTAAATACTTGGAATGAAAGTTTCTCATAGTTTCGGGTTTGGATTAGCATGCTTCTATGTAATTTGACGTCCGGTATCGCCGTTAGGTAGGCCAACAGACAGTATGCTTCTAATACCAAAAAAAACGAAGTCCATGCCCGGGCTCGTACCTGGATCACAATGTGTCCTTAAGATCAGTATGGCAAATACAATCAATGCCCACTGCGCTAGGGCGAGCATGCCTAGAGGAAGTGTGTGGGCCAAAAAATACATGTTTAAAATTAAAACCATACTGGGCTACTACGGCTATTACGTATACTGTATCCGAATACTAAACTGCTTGCTTTATTCATAAGGCAATAAAGACGATTTTTTTACTACTGAGGAAAATACAATATGTTTATAATGTTATGAATATATTTCTTTTGCTATTTCCGTACGTATCGCTCTCAGAGGCTTTGGTACAGTAGAACGGCATGAGTAAATCTTCGAGTAGAAGCCCGCTCTTTGATGTTTACCAATGAACGGTGTCATTCGATTACGTGGATGCATGTTTACCAGTCCATAATTGTTCCTTACGTTTATCGAGAGCGTCGGGAGAAACTTAATTTTTCTGCGATACATCAGGCGCTCCTTTGCATTGAGAAGAAGTAGCCTGTATTGCACTCTATTTTCAGTGGAATATATGTATATGGTACATGTCAAAACGTGTTTAGCAAGTTTTTATATTCAATAGGCGAACGATCCATTTTTGAAAGAGTTATCCGCTTAGACGACCGCAGACAGCGCGTTTCCAAAGAGAGCTTATCGATGATCTAACGGAACCTTGTAGCTGTGGTGCTCGGCTCTGGCACAGCATAGTTCTGTTGGTCCTTAGCTTCCTCAATACGAACTAGAAGCCCATTTGCCCCATCCAAGAGAACAAGGTCTCCCGTGCGGAAAACCTGCGACATGTCAATGATGCAAAAAACATCACACCTTGCTAAAGTCGATTTGCAAAGCATGATAATTATATAGGACAAATGGCTCCAGTGACTGCTTTCCATTATAGCACAATACATGAAATACGTATTCACGGTCGACCAAAAATTCACCTATGGTATGGTAAAGAAGGTCACCTATGGTATGCTTACTATATTAGTCATTCAAAGTTGAAACACCAATACATAATAGAGCCATAGAGATTTGAGTCTCATATTAAAACCTAAGAACAGTTGACTCGAAGGAGACTTGATAAAGTTTGTCACCGCAAGAAAATCGTTAGAAATAACCCAGTTCCTATTTACCTGGGTAACATTAAAAAGCCCCACTACGCAAGGTAAGCCGTATTCACGAGCTATCACAGCTGCGTGAGACATGAGTCCGCCGAGCTCGGTCACGATACCTCCGAGTAGCGGAAAATAGGGACTCCAAGCGATGTCTGTCGCGTACGTGATCAATATTTCGCCACGCTGCTCAAATATACCATGATCCAAACACATATTGGGATTACTTCTACTTGGTTCACTACTACTAGACACAACTATGCGGAGGTCAGTTATTAGTGAAGAAGTTCCTCCCTGAAGCATTCCTGAGCTCCAAGCGTAATGCCCTTACGAATAATTACTAAGCTATTTTAATGCCAGCAGAATGTTCTCAATAGATGCTTCAAAATGTTTATGGAAATTGCTATTAGAAACCTGAATGGTGTGCGCTTCTTCAATTTTGTTGATCACGCGTGCTCTGGCCTCAACTCTGCCCACACTGATGGGAAAGCCCTTCATTTGTACTACGTCGCCGTCGAACGTCGGAACCTCCTGCGCAATCTACATCGTAAAAAGATGGACATACGCGTTAACAAAAACGTGAAACGGAAACAGTCGATTGGAGCGTTAGTGACAATAACTATTATTTTTAACATCCATTAACCAAACCCACTCTCACAACGAATATCTATGGACAAGGCTTCAAGACTTTATTTATTCTAAGTATTACTCATACTGTATTGTACTCATCATCAATTGGAAACAGCTGGCTTAAATCGATACTGAGATTTTCGGCCCCATCGAAACACGTACCGAATTGAAATCTGTATTCTTTTTAATATGAGTCGGACTCTCATTGTATCATAAAACCAAAAGTAACTTAAGTTTACTGTCCTATTTAGGGACAGACTTTATATAAGTAGTTATAGTAGACTGGCTGGGTGTTACAGCGACGGGCATAGCTATCTGCAAATGAGATTGTCATAGGACGACTCTATTGTGCAAGCGTTCGATGTAATTACGATGTATCGTTGACTTAATACATGTACGTACATATCTGAGACCAATCCTCAGAGGAAAATTATACTTTTATTTGCATAACCTACTTAACGGCGTTGGTATGAGCAGGAAAAATCATTTCAATTAAGCAATCTTTGCGCCACAGCTGGAACTACATAGCGACAAATGCCAGTGCTTACAGGACGACTTCGCTAGTGTTTACAAAAGGGGTATGAGGCGTTCTTGATCAATAGGTACATTGAAGCTAATATGACGGATAGGTTATAAACCGATATTGTCATTTAGAACTGTGTGTAGATCCTTTCGAAGTCTAACCGTTCTGGCCAAATGGTGGGTTTGAACGAGAAGATTATTCGATGGTCGACCAGCGTAGCTGCTTGTTGTGGTCAGACGTTCCTATAAAGGTCGATGTTAAAACCTCTACCGTGTTGGCTCAATAATAACGGAGAAATCCTTCTAATAACTTTATGGATCTGGACAAAAAGAAGCAGACGGGGCAACACTGAAAGAAACTCAGCGCGGCCTTTTGCCTAGTAAACTTTAAAGCTAGATTTGACCTATGAAATAAAGCCTTTTCGAAATAGACTCAATTCGACGTACTGCTGCGTGTTCGAAAAATGTAAGCATCCCTTTCATCGGATAACTACGTCATTTCTACGGTACAATTGTGGAACGTCCATAGCTCAAACAAACAACAAATGTCGTCCAATGAAGCCCTCTATGTTTCCGTCTATTTTGCCTGCTAGCGCCAAGCCGACTAAGCACAATACAAGCAAGGTTTCCCTTATTGAATTCGTGTAGCATACTGAGAACGCTGTGGTGTACCCAATAACCCCCTTCCATTTTCGCTCTCGTATCGCTTTCCTTAAGCGCTTAGTTTTTGACAAATCGCATACGACCCATTGCTGGCAAGCTTAATAAAATAAAGGTAAAGACGGGCAGCCATTGCGTGACTTTAGGCAAGTTCATTCTCCAAAGTGAAACCGTCGACTATGTAAGACATTCTGCTTACTTAACGCATAAGCTTTTCACAAATCGATAAGATAAAATAAGGTAAAAATCGATAAGAAAAGCTTTGATTGCAATCTAACCAATGGAAAATACGTACGGCTTTTTACTTACCAGAGCTATTCAATTCTTTCACTTTGATCTAGATATCTAATTGATAGCCAGCTATGTCACTGAGCTAATTTCTAAGTCTCTCATAGGAAGAAGTTCTAATAAGCCTAATTAGGCTTAAGGCTATCTGCAGAGAAACTGTTTAGGACTTCATGATGGTTAAGCTACCGGGCTTGTTTCCCTAAGCGCCAATGCACGTTCCTTCATCGAAAACCTCCTATACTAATTTAAGCTGAGGCCAGCAGATACTGAACTGTGAAGCTAAGACGTCAGATGTTGATTTAGATTATTGTTAAACGCTAACCTTGACACATTTTCCAGTGATGCGGTCGTCGCTGGCTAGTACACCATTTGCTCGATTGCCACAAAAAAATATGTTCCAAGTTTATTATATAATATAGAACACTTTACCGGTTTTGGGTCACCGCGGATGTACTCTGGGAACTGCAATTTGACAAGTTTGGGGAATAGGCGTTTGCGATGATAGGCCCTGAAAGAAAGATAGCACCACGCTAACATATTTTGTTTAAATTCACTGCGTTTATTGGAACAGTGCGCCACAAAATAATGTCGGTCATCAGTGGACCCCTTTTCTAAATCGAAGCATGAAGGACTTTGAAGTTTTCCTCTAAAGAATAACCACCCCTTTACTGGGATTTTGTTTTGTAAGCTAGCGTTTCTCTATTGAAATATTCTTCAAAATATTGGTTGTATATGATATTGGAAGTCACTATAGTTGTACCTGGAGATAATAGCAGAATCACGAGTTTTGATCACCTTATGTAATTCGCTTAGTGTGCAGAAAAATAAAAGTTCCTCATCTGGCAAGCGTCCCTCAGCTTTCAGCTTTCGCCCTAGTGCCCAACACCATAGACGTATCACATGCTGAGCCCATATCCAGAGGGATTTGGTATTCTCGCGAATACCAACACCTTTTCGTGCAAAATACACTAGCACGCTTAACCGGAGCCTTAGGTAAACAGTCAGAACGTGAACGCGCAGCAAACATGAGTATTACGAAAAATTCGCATTTCTGACAGTTACATATATATAGATATGTTGAGTACATTTCGAATCATTGAGCCAATCGATTTGTACTAAAGTAAATGAAAAGATGAAACCGTAATGAGTGATACCATGCATAAGTTCGAAAATAACCAACCATACTTACTTGTGCCAAAAAGTCAGCTTACAGGGTATATTCTTTATGGACGCCCACACACTATCTATTTTTTTGTTCCTTAGGCCTACCGACTCACTCTTTAACATTGCCTGTGGGATGAAATCAGTGTTTGACGTAATCATCTTTTCGCATATTGGCCCTAAAAAAATACTTATTGACATATCGACACTGGATTCGAAATTGTGCTTAAAACAAAACAATTACACTGACTGCTAAATAGATATGGATAGCAGTAAAACAGATTAATTGCAAAGCCCCATTTATAAACGATCTATCAAGGATTTTTTGCAGTTAGTAACCTGCTAGCTATAGAAGGGGCTTTGGATGGTTCACTTTATGTTGTGAAAATCTGGCTAGATAAGCAGCAGTCATACTTGCAGGGTTGCGACAACAGGTACCGCATTTAAGGCCCATGGTTTTCGATACGGATCAAACTCATTGTACCCTCGATGTCCATGATCCTCAAGGAATTTTTTCAAGGCCTTACTGGAAAGCGGATAGCTCATTTCATTCTTTAGCAAGGTCAAAGCCTCTTCGTTCGAGGCGTTCAGAAAGTTGTCCCTGCCAATTTCCGACTGGATCACCTGGGACATTTTCTTCGGCGAGTATCATTGCACACAAGCAAACACTTTTGTTAGTTACGAACACACGGGTATATCAATAAATGGCGAGCTATTTATCGTTATCAGATACTGTGTTATTCCTACCGCAGCCTAAATATAATATTATGTTATTACAATATTGTATTATTATAGACATATAGTATTATATTATTAATGACTATGTATTCGGGAAGGGAGGATGTCTAGGGTTAGTTTGTTCTACATTTTTCTAATTGTAACTAATCTTAGCTTGATTGTAATGATGCTTTAGATAGTTCTACGGTAAACGCGATCTTTACTCATTGTATCCAAACCAAAGCAATTTCTAACGGTTGTAGTTAACTCACAAAGAAATTTACCTCAAGTACTTTTGGAACTTCGCAGCTGACAACGTCGTGCGCCGAACCGAGAAGTCTAGATAGATAGCCATAGACTGTTACGGTCGATTCTGCAAAATGTAAGACAACAGGGTTATGAAACGGGACCATATTAGATATTCTAGTCTTTACTCTTGATACAAATTCTATAGCTACATATAGACTGAGCGTTCAGACGCGAAAGAAGGTGTTTTTTAAGGGTACCGCAAAGATATATAGCATGTTTCAGTGTCGCATTAGTGAAGTCAAGCAGCAGCAGCAGCAGCACCCCCTAATGAGAAACCCGCAAAAGGTAGTTCTAAAAAGGGGAGTTCCTAGCAAGTTTACGGGAGCGTACGGCGTAGTATAACACATACCATCGTTAATGGATTTTATGTAGTTCACGATATCATTGCTCCACAGCAATGATCCATTGCTAGCGTTGACATGCGGTCGAACTGCGCAGTCAATCGACGTAGTTAAGGCTATAATAAGTCCGTCTAGGAGTTCCTCAACGGACATGTTGTCCATTGGAAAGCGGGCCCTCTTGTGGCATAAATAGTAGTTATAGCGCCAATTAAGCTTTGCGATATACTTCATCTACAGATCACAAAGCCAAGCATCAAGAAGAAACATTTATCCAACAAACAGTCATACTGCTCGTGCTCGCTGTATGGAATACTGGTTTTTGACATTTTTTACACTATTCATTTTTGCGTAAAGCCTCATCGCAGGTCTGATGCTTCGCTAGAACAAATAAACCGACCTCAGCAAACCGTATTCTAAGGAAGCATATGAAAACCACTTTTTTTTAAGGTAGACCTTACTCGCTCCTCCTCGCGTCTCTTCCAGATGAAGTGTTTATTTTAGATTAGGTTTAGTGATTATGTTTAGAACAATAACTTCTAAAAAGGATTACACTTACATGAATGGTGTCGGCTGTTCTTTCCCAGTAGGGTACATAAGGTTGGAGGTCACTTGGGTCATCTATATTTTCGTAAAATAAAGGGTCGTCAGGGACTCTGCCACGCACATTAAGCATTAGGGACTCCATAATTTGTATGTCTTTGGCGTTCGTTGCAAACGCGCGAATCCACTAAAATACAATGAGATATTTATTTTACCTAAATTCATAAATCGTAGTTGGTAGTAAGTGGTAGAGAGCTACTGACTCACCAACTCGTAGGCCCATATAGGTACTAGTATTAAATGAAGCTCGCCGACATCCTTATATAAGTTTATTTCAGTAATATATAGGTAAACCTCACAATATTCGTTTTAGCAACTGATATATGAAATAGGCTAGTTTCGATCGTTGCAGATGAAGAAGATTTTGCCTGCGTCCGATAGGTTGTCTTCGTGTTCGTACTAGCACACAACTACACAAGGTCGGACGCAGCCTGCAGCATCGCATTCGAAATTTGTTTGTTATCCAGAGCGGGAACTACTAGTTCTAGATGCTTACGGTTAGTAAAGGCACGTTAGCTGTGGCGAACTGTTTTGCGGCAGGGTTGCGTTTTAGTATCGTAGAAAAACGTATTTCAACGTATTGTCAAAAAATGATCAAGGTTGATGTCAGTTCTTCTCTGTGTCTGCTGAAAGCAAACGCTTCGTCGGAAACGCGATACAAAAGCTCAAAATATTATTATCATTATTATGCAGATTAGGACATACCTCAATCAAATCAATGAAGTAGTGATGATGCGAAACCTTCAGTATCGACTCAAAATACGGACTCAAGGGAGCTCTTCGCATTCGGCTAGACTTGGCCTTATATTGCTAAAGTGGACATGAAAAGTTGGCGAATATTAAGATGCAGATCGTGACAAACGTAGTTTATGACAGTTAACTAACAGTTGTTTATTTGGTTAGTTGAAATCTTGGTACTATAGTCCTAAAAATTAGCTATTACTCGCATGAAATGTGTTAAAAATAAATTGACAAATGGCCTAGTTGGTCAGAAAAGCTTTAAACGTAATTTAGCCCACCAATAGTTTTCCAATATAATATATAGCACATACTGCCTCAGCTGAACTCAGATGGGATTTATCATGTACTAACTAACCTTCATTGAGATACCGCACTGCTTACAGACCAGATCAATACCCAACGGAGTAATAGCTCGATTTAATACTTCACTGCAAAAGGAAGCAATTCGTATTCAAGTAGTCTTTCGATTCTGATAATGCTCAGACAGATAATTTTACATCGTTTGCTTTGCCCATCATCCTATTCGATGATTGCCTAAAATCGGGTAAAATCTATGAATAATTATATGATCAGCTCTATCTAATAGACAACTTCTCTAGAATATTGTTTCGTAACATATGATTACGGCAAAATTAAACTTGAAAATGAAAGCAAAAAACCAACCCAACGTTTGCCGTAGAAATTATGGTATTCTCGTTACGAGCGGGGATTTCCATGTCCAGTGAAATCTCTTCATCGGATGGCTTGTCCATGAACGTAATCGGGCGTGCCTGAAGCAGGAATAATGTATGGCCTTGAAGAGCCCACTCTACGTCCCGCCAATCACCGTAACACTTCTCGACCTAGAATTGTTTCTCACAATGAACATGGTAAGTCATATGCGTTATATAGCATATATCACTATGTTACAAAGTATTAATCACAAAATGTCTGGCCTAAATTTCACCTTCTGCTTGCTATGATTGCTATGGCACGTTTTACACAATTACGCAAACCCAGAGCTGTAATCAAGCCTTCTGAGTTTTCTAATGTACTACGTAGATAGTGTTATAAACGGAAAATCGGAAGCGCATGGATTTTCGATTTTTCATCAAGCCAACCGTCGCCTTGAGTGGACCATTTTGCAGGACCTGGAGAAATCCGATTGGGCCGTTGAAAGCAGAAAAATTTAGGCAGCCAGACAGTGCAAGCTTAATGGTTAAAATAGGTTTTATAAACCGAAAGTACTGTAGTAGGCAAATAGGTACTACTAGGTCAAAATCTCGACGGCGCGCAAACTACCTCGGATGCTTGGGGACAAATTTATTGATGCAGGGGTTCTGCAATAATCCTTTGCGCAATATAAGACCAACACTGAACGAATCGACGAATCAAATGTTTCGCTCGAAAAGAAATAACCTTTGATACAACTTGAACGGTTAGTAGATATTGACTAGTACTGGCATAAACTCGTTAGGTGGAAGAGGACCGAGTGGTTACGGTTTTCGTCGGTGTACTGATGTCACAAGGAAAGGGTTAGAAAAACTGGCATTTGATTACGTACCATGAGAATTTTGATTTTCATTTCATCAAACAGCTGCAAAGGCATAGACAATAATTGTTCATAGCGTCCATGTAAGGTAAAGTATCGATGAGGACTTCAGGATTTGTTGCTAACGTGAGAACAATGTTTATTGCAGCATCACTGTTTACTACAAGTGAGACACTACTAACTACATCGCTTAGAATAGGCCATCGCGCTATTTCTGGTCAATATTCGGCCCAAAAACTTAATCCATAGGTTGTACGGATTCATTCATGAAGAAACTGTCTAAAGTTAGTTTTAACTTTTTGACTTATAAGTTGGGCTTACTATAGGTTGCCTGACTAGAACCGAATAGTGAAAGGCTCGGTAAAAACTGAAAAGTTCAGTATGAACGTGATGCTTAATTTAATAATGAAGACAACGCTTAGTTTTATTACCTGGATCAAGGCAGTCATGAGAAAGGCCTTATAATAAGTTTAAAATTTTGTACACCGGTTGATCATGTGTGTTGACGCTAGAGATAAAGTAGGGCACGACCAAAGGGGACTACATGTTGTACTCAAGCGTTGATTTTAGGAAAAAATTTCACTATACTTGTTGTTACAGTATGAAAACGACTCACGGAAAAGTTAGCGAAAAAATTAAATATAGGTAAAAAAATTCTCTAATTTTGAGCGTAAATAGCTGTGAGTTGTGTGGACCGCAAAGGTATTTACCGACCCACGTACGGTCGAGCCATAAGTTAAGGGCAAAGCGCGTAACCAGATCTACCGGTTAAAAAAATTAGAATGGATAAACATTTTGAAACAGTTTATTAGATAACGTCATGGAATTAGTATACCGCGTTCGTATAAGCCTTGATCTATGCAGATACAATTGTAACTGTACCGTTAGTTGGTTGACTTTATAAAACTAGATCATATAACTTAAATGCATCATATAAGAACACCTACTATGCTAGCCGGTTGCTACCGGTTCGATTAGGAAAAGCCTAGTTTTTATATCTATGTTTCCTTATGAAATGCATTAGATGTTTATTCTTGACCTTGTGGCTGAATTAAATGTCCTGATAATCCTATGGCCGCCACTTAATACGAATTGTTTGTTTATCTAGATTTAAATGCGCCAATTTGGCATAATGTAAGCCGCGAAATGGATTTCAAATTGAAAAAAAAACTCACCTCAGTACCAACACGAGCTAATTCTACAGCCTGGTGGACGCTAATAGATGCATCAGTGGCTTCTTCTGAGGACGCAAGCTTTTCTTCGCGAGTCCCGCCGACTTCTGCACAGCGACAGAATTGATATAAATCATAAAAACGATCTGTGTTTATAGTTATAAACACGTGAAATTTAACTATTTCGAGACAAATATTCAAGCTATGAACAGAACAGGTTGTTACTACATCAGTTACATATGATCAATAGCATCGCAAGAAATCATATTAGTGCTTACTAACAGTTTTCGTTGATATTGTCTGAGACTAATGTAGGAAACACGGAAATTCGCCAAGCTGTCTTTGTCTTACATTTGTGCAGCATACATGGCTGTAGTTTTTATTAAGTAGCAGTTTCTTGTTTGGATTTTTATAGATATGGATTGCTAGATAGCTTAGTTATCAAACTTACGCTCTGAAATTGTGTAGTATGCACTAAAATAGTCGTCAGTTATTAATTATCATTTTCTGACAATCAAAACCTGAAGCTGAAGTATGGGTGCATGTCAAAGGACGCATTAAAGCAATCTTGGTCCTTGGTGTTTTTTGTTGGTCAAATGGGCGCACCATCTGATCCGATGGCGCTAGCCATTCTTCCCTATCAGTCTGTAGTGTTAAAAAATTCGATATTGGGCTAATTCTGACTGAACTCCATGAACGAAATTGACAATTGGTGAGCAGTAGTCCCGGAAAAACCAAATCCAACCGTTAAAACTGAGCCCTTTACTCGGCCTCATAAGATAGAGTTGTGTCCGGTCGTAGGTAAGCCCTTTGAAAAATGGATGCATTATATGCAGGGAACCACTTTGGGGTACAATAGAAGAAAAATACACCCTGCGACTACAGTAGTTTCAGGTGATTTTGTGAGCAGGAAGCCGTTAAAAATAACCCGAATCAGCCCGAAATTTAAAGGTGATTATTTGTTTCTACTTTCTTGTATCGTTACGGTTCTTATGGGAGATTCTTCGGTTTCCGTGAACAAAAAAGATGTGCTCATGTTGAATTGTAGTCACTTATTGCACTTTTATAAAACACAAATCGAGAAAAAAACAGTCTGTGCGAAACAGTGGTCATTTAATAACTGTCCCTAGGTCACTTAGCATATGCCGTAATGCGAGCTAATACATATACATCTGAACAAACAATAAGAAATATGTTTACCACTTTTGCAGTCGTAGTAGCGTCAGTTTTAGTATGAAAAAAAAAAAAAAAAAAATCTTGCATCCAACTAAGAAGTCTTTTGTTCCTTTGTGTATAACTTTTCCATTGCAGTAGCAATTATTGTTAATAACAACAATTTTCAATCTATCTAATTGAAATAATACTTGATAGCCTACCATCCATAATAATCTTGACGTTTTTTTTGCCGATATCGACCTGATTCACTGTGATCTTTCCGCTAATGTCGCGGTGCACGCGCACCGTATCCGGATCAGCCAGAGCCGATACAACACTCTGTAATAACAACACCAAATCTCACACGAATTCGTTATGAACATCTACTTTAATTGGCAGATTAGTTTAAAACTGTCGGAACATTTTATCTGTTTGATTCATTTAAATGAGTTTATTTATTATTGAAGAAAATGTCAAGGAAAAGGGTTGCCCGCATTAGTGATACTTTTGCGTTTAATTCAACTTACTGCTTGGAATAACCTTTAAATAGGAAACACTTAACTGGTACGCTCGACTACGCAACCACATCATTTAATTTTCTATTTTTTCAATAATGACTTCTCTAGGACACTCTGTCATCATAGATCTGACCTCTCCAAGTCCGAAGTTCGAGGTGATGTAAATCGTGGACGGGTCGCCGGTGAGAGGATCGCAGGTGAGCATCACTCCTGCGCTATCCGCGGCTACCATTTCCATTACAACCACTGCCATTTCGCTCAAAAGCTCTTGACCATAGCGGCGTTTATACTCTATAGCAATGTGACTGAACTGTGATGACCAGCATTTCACTATAGCAGCGATAATCTAAATATACAGGAAACATAGGGTTGGAGAACATTTTATAAAAGCAAAAGTGGTGAAACAGCGTACGAAGTACCGACTCAGAAGTTAACCTCGTATAACAAGAATAATAAATCAGTGTGGGGCTTGTACTAGAGCCCGAGGTTCTCCGGCTGTTCTCACCTCTTTTTCGCCTCTCACGCCAAGGAACGTATCCATTTGCCCCGCTGCTGACATATCCTCGGAATCTTCTCCAGCGCACGAACTGCGTATGGCAAAGCGCTTTGATGGGAGATCAGGGAAAATTTCTTTAAGGCGATCGATGATTTGTTTTGAGATGCAAGAAGGTACAGGCTCGTTTTGCACCCGTTGTTTGCATTGATCGGTGATCAGCTTGACTTCCTCCACCGTTGAGGTTGATAACACCTGTAGATTTCAGTTCTTATTTGTCTTTAGAACGTATTAATGAATTCGACTCGAGGAGGCTCAATAGAATTTCAAATAATAAACGAGTTAACCATAGACATAGACATAGACTCGCATTGGCTAAATCAAATTGGTGACAGGTAACAACTGAAAACCAAAAACAGCTATACTATGAATGCGCAGAGGTTCGATAGCAACTTTTCACATAACTGAAAACGCGACGACGCGGCCATCAAAGGTCTAAGGCGTTTTTACCTAAGGTTGGGCTTCTCTGCCCGATTTCGATTTATTAGAGCTTATGCTTAGTTTTCGAAACACCTTGGCCGACCGGCGCCAGTAAACCGTTTAAACACCTAATAGCGGTTCAGAATTGAACAGTTTCAAAATTACCTTATGAAGGTCTTTCTCAAGAGCTGACACCTTTGGGGACAATAAAAACCTGCGGAAAGCCTCGGTGGTGACGACCACACCATTGGGTACAACAAATTTGGCTTCATTGCTTGTTAAATGTGAAAGTTCGGATAAAACCGCCAAAGACGACCCCTTTCCTCCGGTAAGATCGCGGTTTTTGCATTTTGAATCGAAGAGCGACACTACGTACGGGACTTCGGCCGATGGCGTTTCTATAGAGCACGCACATATACAAACGAATCATAAGAGCCGTGCGCGTACCAATTAAAGTGCACCACATCAATAAATTGATCACCCTTGTAGTATTTGTAATAAGACTGTAATATTTTCCTTAAAATTTTGTAAGACCTAATTTTCGGACCCTGTTGTCTGTGGACGAAAACATTAATTTCCAGCGTCAATAGATAGCCTTAGGCTAAAAGCTATGTATGTGCTCAGCACGATGGATTATGCTCAGCTAAACGGAAAGCATATATCATTTAAACTTGGTAGAAAAAATCAGCATAACACTTCCGGAAGTAGGAGTGTTATTAAACGAAAAAAATGCTCTCATAACAGTTTGTCAGGCCAAACTTTATTCGACATTTTGTGAAAAATGATAAAAATTTACCAAGTAGCTGCGGGCAGTACTCTATGAAAAGCATATATATAATTCAAAGAAAGTAACTCTTGTTAACTAAGGGTCAAATTTAGTTGTTACTTAATGTTTCTGTTTGTTAATACTTACTCATAAAGTTATTTTAAGATCAGCTATTGACATCTCTCATACTATTTTCTTAAGTCTATTTCAAAAATCAATAAGATATTGTTCATCTAACTGTACTTGTATAATTTTAGTATAGTTTATCAAAATAGAGTAAGTTTTAAGTAAACACTGGGGATTCTATACAAATATTATATATATATATATATATGTAGCGTCTTTGCAGTACTACAAAGGACTTCCACTTGGTCAACTTTGCCAGTGATCAGATGCCTGTGGAAGTAGCAAGAATTCTGCTAAATATAGAGAAACAAGAACCTCTCAATGGCTGATGCAAAATCAAGTAAGCTGTTTAAGACTCCCATGGATCTGCTGTCTTAAGTCTCATAATACACATCTTACTTAAAGCTAACAGGAAGATATGTATTATGAAACGAACTGTCAGAAGATGCCGAAAGAAGAATTATAAACATTTGATTAGACCAATGGGATGCTATACCTAGATTCGCTTCGCGCGCGGCACATAGGAACATTATCTTTAACGTTGAGATCTGAATCACACGATATGGAGCGAAACTTGCCTACTGCCTCACGCAGATGCTTACAGGTCATAGAGTCTCCCAAGGTATATTGGCATAGGACAGGGATGGTCTTTTTTACACGTTAATGGCATGCACGACGCACACTCATGACGGAATGAAACGCTTCGTGTCTTACAGAATTTAATCGCACGGGCGGTAGAGTGAGGTTTCGACTCGGAGGTCCTAAAGAAATTGCTTGGTCAGGAGGCATCTAAAGTACATGAAGGATTTCTCACCGGATGTGTTGGAATCAGGGTCAGAAGCTACATGAGGGGGACATGCTGTTGAGCAGAGAATCCGTTCGCCTGGCGACGTAAGAAACATGACCAAATTGATTCCTGCCTGGTGATTTGGTGCCACTCTCCTTTATCAGTCTGCACTCTTGTTAAATGAAGCTGAAGGGCTGATTCGGAGCGAAAATGTATAAAAGTCATACGTAAACTATACTACCCAAACCCTTTTAAGAAAAATGCCATCCTAACCTATTTAATGGTACTACTTACCGAAATCGAGTATATTGAGTGGCGGTTGTGAAAGGTTGACGCTGCTAACTCCAGTTCTGTAATCAAATTTGTTCGGGTTGTGCCTTTATATTGGTCGTATCCTTATAGCCATATGTGTACACCTCTACCCATAATGATATTTCTTAACACAAAAATATAACTACGAAATATTCGGGCAACCTATGAGAAGTAGGGATAATATTATAACGTAAAGTTTCATTTTTTACGAACTGCTTAAGTTTTTCGACGTTTCGTTCTCTGTTGCGGATGTTAGTAAATCATCTGTATCGTTGTTAATCGTGTAGTGAGTTTTATGAAAACGGGCCTTCGTGTTCCCACACTTCACACAAAGCATTTACTAAAACAATAGTTATATGGTGATTATAAAGCACATTCGAAAACAAGACAAAGTAGAACAACAAATAAAATCTCAAATATGTTCGATCTGAATAGCAGCTTTTACGTTAGAACAGTATAAATACCATTTCTGGTACAACGTCCAAAGTGTGCTGGTCGGGCCATCTGTGCACTCAATTTAGTCAACAAAATGTCCAGATGTCACCGATATGAGATGATGACCATAAGTTCTCTATAGTAACACTACTTACGTGATGCTTCGGATCGTTATGCCGACAGCGTTAATGCCGTCAATCATGGCATCGAAAGCCGACACATCCAGATTGTTATTCCATCCCAAAACAGACTTAAAAGACTGTAGGGATGCACCTTCAGAACGCAGAAACTCGTGTGATAACTCGACTGTAAATGTCATAAGCGTCAAAGGCAACTTAATTCTGATGCGGTTTGCTATCATAAGTTATTTTGAAAAAAATTTTATGCAAACGTTATTATGCAAAGTTCTGCTAGACGCTTGCTTAGTATCAGAAAATAATGGATAGCCGAAAATCATACAGCCGAAAAACTGCCTAAATGGATGAGCGCTAGTGCCGTGATCTACGCTATTCGTGTGGCTACTAGTAACTAGTTTAGGAACTTCTATTTTGAAAAAATGAATGAACACTCACACGTTTGAAGTTGAAGAACTGGTGATGTGAGAACGTCCTCGAGTTTGGCCTCCGCATTCTGCTGATTCAGCACATGTTCAAGCGAGTCTTTGAATCCAGAGGTTCCTACAAAACTTCCAAACGCCAGATTACGGCTGGTGTGAGAGAAGTTTAGAGTGCTGATTTGCACAATGTGTCCTCTGGCACTGACAGCTATCTGGTGTGAAATTTCCTTCAGACCAGATCGATCCACTCCTAATCCTTGCGGGTGACGTATTCGAATGAAATTGCCTCGCAGATGAAGCTTTTCTTCCCAGAAGGACGCGTTTTCGCCGCCCGCTTCGAACTGACCTGTGGTCGCCGCGGATCCACCGTGAAAACTGCTATTTTCATTTATCTTAATCGTTCCCACATAATAGCCGCTTTGCTCATATCCTTTTAGGTGCTTTCGACAGCTGTCAGTCGTAGGGTAATAATTAGCAGTTGGTGTTGATGTTGTATAAAATTTTTTAGCTCAATAGAACACAAATAGATCTCATTTTGAATTATCTTGAAATTCTTATTTTGACAATCTTACTTTGAAATAAATTCTTTGCCTTGAAAAGTTCAGAGATTTTTAATTTTTTATGCCTCAACAAGTTTCCACTTCCACAAACATCCAACTCTGAGGCTAAGACAGTTGGGCATAAGTACAGAGGGAGGCGTGTTTATTCGAAACGGGCTTAGTAAATCGGAACCTGTTCCATATACCGTGTTATAGGCTCACTCAAAAGAAAAGATAATGACAATAATAAAATAAGAGACAAGCTTGAAAAGAAACTATCGAATGAGGTTTGCTATTAGGATCTGTTCCTACAGTTCAATAGATGCGATGGCATCAGACAAGCGATCATCTGGGCCTCCATTCTGAAGGCAAAACTTCATCAAACGGTTTATTGACACCATGCTCGTCCAGTCCATTACATGAGTGAAGTTAAACCAGCTGAAATAATTAACAATAGATACATCAAACCCTCTGTGCCAAACGAAGAACATGTTGGTTTTTGAAGGGTGTGTTCTAGGCTTGGTTACTAGTCCCAATGGAAAAAAATTAAGTCAACCTGCTGTGTCCTTTACGATAAATCGTCAATATGCCTACAAACAAAAGCTCACTTAAAATAAAAATCATTTTATTTTATGTATTTATGGTAAATAGTAACATTTCTCTATAGTGATTATTTATTTACTGTCATCAATTTACTAGAATTGTACAAAGAGCATATAGCATATGGAAAACTCCGTTTATGTACCATTCACTTCCAAAATGGCCTTAAGATCCCTAAATTAGCGTCGATTATTTGTACTTACAGGAGCACGAAGCTAACGTAAACAGCACATCCCGTTTCCGCTTGGCTGTAAACAATGCAAAGTTATCCTTATAGGCTTTGCCATGCCGGAATAAGAAATTTATTAAATCTGTCCCGTTTTATCGCTTAGGCCATTTCTATTAAAAAAAAAAAAATATCACGTACATGGTCATAGCCCAGTGTGAGATCTCTCCAATTTCTAGATGCGATCAATGATTTATAGCTTATAACCATTTTTATATTAAATTTTCGTAAAAGTAAAAAACCACCCTTTTCGATAATAATGGCTGTTATGCACTTTTGCTAGTAGTCGTTGCCATTTTTCGACAGTACTAACATCATCATCCCGTTGTAAGCTATTCTCCATTTTCGCATTGGCTCCATACACATCAGACGCAATCCGCCAGCCTGTGAATGATAAATCATACTAACTGATGTTATGGATTCACTGGGAAGATAATTAAATGCTAACGAGTATCATGTAGTTGTGTAGGTTTGGCAAAAATAAAAAGTAAGAAAAGCTTTTTTTTTAAAATTAAAAAATTTTTGTCAATTATTACTACGCTGGATTAGCTCTAATAAATTTTTACGCGATGGGAAGCATATTTGCCACATGTAACCCTTAAGTTAGGTGTTGCCCGACACATAAGATAACCTTTTACAATTGCATAATAATAAAGGCGTTGATTTTCCATATGTAATCAAATAGTGGTCGCACATAGCGGGAAAATAGACCTGTAGATTAACGAAAAGATATTCTTAGTTAGAAGCTTACAGTTTATAGAAGCGCGACTCCCGATATAAACCTACTCCTTTCTAACCAAAAGGATGTCAAATTTCTAAATGTAGGCCAACGTCATCTTCAATTTTAGTTTGCCAGTCGTCAGCGTATTCTGAATTAGCCTTGGCCTAGCATTCAGCGAGGTAATCGTGTGGTGGAGCAAGACCATCGTTACATTAAAAACGTACATAGCAATGTTACGTTGAGTACATGTACTCTGACTAAGCGTTGGCGTGCATTGTCCTGTAATAATACCTGATATTTGTTGCCCTGGCTGATATCGAGACGCAAAGCTTGATAAGCATTGATGCTAGTTTTGCTACTTTCGCTGCTATGCGGAGCGGCTCCATGTGGCGAAACGAATACGCGACCTTTGGAGTCCCTTAGAACAATTTGTATCTCTGCTTGTCGCTGTTCTGCGCGGATCATACGAATTACCAAAAGCTCTCCTGAGGTTTGTGTGCCAGTTAAGAGCAGCTCTTGGGGACCCTGAAATGGCAGCAGGGCGTACAGCCACAGGTGGTATTATTTGATTTTTTTACAAGCACATTTCAGTCTGGGTCACATTCAACGTGCGATATATTTCGTCAGGCGTTCCTTCTAGTCATATTCTTCTCTCTAGTGATTTACTTATTATTTAGGTTGGCCATTTCGAATTATTTACAGCGAGGTTCGCACACAAATGTTGTTTATAACTGTTCATCTCTCAACGAGATATGAAAAAAAAAAAAAAAAAAAAAAAAAGAGGGCGTTTTGCTAGCTGAACAATTTCTATGGGCTATAAAAAGCTCTCATTCCGGTAACTGATCAAAATCACTGATTAAAATACGAAAAAAATTCAAGAGAAAAACTTCTAAGGGTAACGATGTAAGTATCCAGTCATGGCAGCGGCCACCGCGACGGTTCGATGGATTTTGTCGACGTTGCTAATACATAATGCTCTGCCAGAGGTAGTACTAACGAAACAAAAATGGTGCAATAGAGCTAGCTGGTCGTTTCCATTACATATGGATCACAATATGGGTTTACCACGTTTACCTTTATGAGTGCGTGTTCATAGCAATGCTAGAAGATATCTTTGAGACTGTTGGCTAAAGCTTCTAGATGAAGAAATCATTTTACTGGAAGAATCTGCTGCTGGGACATTTGTGCATTTTGTTGCATCAATTCTTACCGCGCTAATCACCAAGGACGCTTAGTTGCGCCTACTGCGACTTCTATTCTTTATAGACAACTTATGGAACAGGTATTCCAGCTTAAAATATGCATATGATAAGCCAACTTACATACCTTGAGAACTCATAGTTGCTTGTGCTACTCGGGAACTTGCAGTTTGTTTTAAGTTTGAACTGTCATCTACTGCAGAGCCTTGAGGGGGTGATGACGAGAAAGTGCTAATATTTACAGACGTTTGACGACGTATTTAATTTCTCATAATTTGAAGAGTACAACAACAATAATTTCTACGCTTCCAGAAAGGCTAATCGTCTATAAATGGAACTATCAAACAAAGGGATACTTATTTAGTCAAGAAACACGTTCAACCTGCATAGAGAATTCCTCCTAGATAGATATATAGATAGACTTCTAACTGCTTAGAAAGCGATCCACGTGTTAATTTCATTTGCACCCCACTTTTTATTATTAAAAACACTGCTTATAAAATACTGAAGTCCTTACTGAATAGAAAACGAAGTCAAATTTCTAGGAGTCGCATGCAATATGTTGGAAGCTGTTCGGTCTTGCGGCGGAATAGAATGTTACACGCGATTAACTTAGCAAAATGATATTTCTACAACTATCATTCATACCTCATTTTCAAAATCCTTGTGGGAAACGGGATATTCGAGCTTTTGTTCCTCTGCCCGCATAACATATCCTCGGCGAACGGGATCAGGCGAGCAGAAATTGTAAGTGGGGAATACTGATTGTCTGCCATACCGGAAGTATATATAGCATAGCAGGATCCGCACGAGCTCGAATACGTCTGTTTATTAAATAAGCAAAAGAGGTAATCAGTGGTGATAGTCGATGCATACCGTATAGTGTAACGTGAATAAATGTTAATATTGTTTTTTGTTTATTGTTTTTTAGATGTGATCATCAGTTTGCAGCGAGACGTGAACTGGAAAGGAAAATTCTTGGGTTTTCAGTCGATATGACTCATTTATTCTGATCTTCAGGGGCTGGGGCCGTTTACGTGTTAAGTTCAAATTAACTGCACGGCGTTTATCAAGTATATAGGGTTTTCTGAGTAGGTATTCTTGGCCAAAGTCAGTAGTTTGATCGTCGCCTGAGCTTGACGGAACGCAAACATTTACGCTCACTTACTTTCTAATATGTTATTTGAATGCTTCCTTAGCATTAATCACGAACTGCCATAGCCAAATATGATCCATAAGAAAAAATGATTACCCGCAGGTTCGATGTCGTTTACGATTAGACCATAGCCTTTAACAGTTTTCAGCTGATTAAGCTATCGTTTTAGCAAGACTAACTGCCGCAATAAAAAAAGCATTCTGTTTGCTCTTCCCCTAATGGCGGGCTCATTCAATGCAATAACGGAAAAACGTCCTATCCTAACGGAAAAAACTATACAGATTAAGATTAATACTATACATGGATAAGGCTAACGAAGGAACGTACGTAACCGCCCGTAACGAGTCTGAGTAATTTTTCTCTGGCCAAAAACAAAGAAGTGGCTTTAAAGTCGAAAGTACGCAAACATACGGAATATCATCGTACAGTTACGAGTGTATCTTCGCGAGTATCCATAAAATTCGGTCCCTGTACGCCATTTGCAAACAGGTGACTCGTGCGTTCGTTAGATAAAGTACTCTCGATAAATAAGACCAAAACCAATGAAGATTATCTTATTGCTATTGCTTACAATATATTGGTTTAGAGGTTCAGTAAGACTTGATGTCCATTTGCTGCAAAAGCTAGTTGGTGCGGCACCTCAATATTGCCGGCTACAGTGAAGGAACATAACTTGTCTCCTTTTATTAAGCGCTGTTTGTATAGACTCTGTAGCTAATATTACTGACCGAAAGAAATAAGCTTTGTGAAAATTGTGAAAAGACGAATTTGATGCTTAGGTAGGCGATCAAAAATGTAACACTTACGGATATCATCCTTTATGAGATAGTCACAGTGTAAAAGTTTCAGTAACTTCAATAGTAGATAACATATGAGTCTTGCTAGAACGTCTCGGATCTTGAGTGCATTCATTTTGAGCAAATCGACGGTATCTGTAGCGCGAATGGTATTATCCGTCAATAAGACCTATCTTCTTTGACGTTGATAAACGTTTGCTGTTAAAAACTGAAGTAAAATTGCTGAAAAGTCGTTAGATAATATAGAATGCCGTTGATATTTTCAAGGGTAGAAGAGATGCACTTATAACAGAAGAAGTGTTTTCTCTTGTCACTATGGAAACACCAATGGAGATCACGCGGACAATCGCAAGCCCTCCTTTAATAGCGGTTTCCTTTTGGGCGAAAGCGAAACATATCGAGCATTCACGCCTGCTGCAAGGAGGCTTGATCGAATAGAAGGGGCGCAAAGATGAAGGCCAGTAGTTTCTATCTAGACGATACAAAAGTGACTTCCTCATTTAGTAATTTCGTTGCTGTTACCCTTTTTTTTTTTTTTTTTTTACCATTAGTTAGAAACTCGCGTAACCTTGAGCTAACTATTTACAGCATAAGATTTGCTTCTATTATTCAGATAGCGTTCCACACTGGACGCATCGTTCACCCGTGTCCTTTTGTCCGAATAGTGCTAACGATCATTAATTGTACCCCGCGATAATACAGCGACCAAATTACTGGCAATGTATTTATTATAGCAAACTCATTAAGTAGACACAACTTTTCCAATTCTGTGTAGCTCTATATATATATATATATATATATATATATATATATATATATATTTACACGATGGAAACAAGGATTTAGTCACGAAATATGCTAAATCGCTTTTAGGTACAGAAAAATGAATCTTTTTTTTAGTCTGGCCTACATGGGTTAGTATCAAGCTGATGATCTTCCGTGTAACCGCAGGTACTCATTGTTTCAACAATCGGCCAACTTTGAGAACGTACCCATAAAGACAATGGTCACTCATCAAAGAACTTTCACCTTTTACAGCGGACTATAGAACGATGACACTGAATATCGGCACACTCTGCAACAGCAGCTGAAGATACTGGTAATTACACCTGATAAGTTTTACAACAAATAGAATTAGGCACAGGCATACATGCGCCATGGCCTTTCATCGAAAACAGAATAAATAGAAGTCACGCAGGGTAAATGTTTATGTTTGTAGAGTAGCCACATCTGTTTTAAGGAAATCGTTTCGCAAATTAGCCACTAAGGAACTATTTTGCTCCTATAAGTACCTTCTCATAATTATCTTGCGGGATCCAGCAAACTTGGGCTGAAAACCCATAAGTTTTTAGCTTCTGTCAGTTTCTTGTTAAGAAATTTTACAGCCTTAGCCTATGCATTTTCCTACATTATAAATATATCAATATATCCTTTTTGGAAAGCTGCAGTAAGCTGCTTTTGTGATTAATTTCTTCCATGGCAATCAGTGAGTGAGACGTCTTGATCACTGCTCGTTGGAAACTTCTGAAAGTGTTCTCCCTAACTGCGAATGATGATATCATTCATATAATTATACTTCTAAAATTTGTGTTTTCTACCGTCCTTTAAAGATGATATTTCCACCAGAGAACAAATAAGTAGTAAATATCTTGAATAGTTAAAAACAAATGTAGATACGTTTGCTTCTCTTTGCTCTCGTGCTACAACAGTGACCCATCTTTATCTCAAATCGTGACTTGTAGTAAAAAATTGATTTGCTACAGTGATCGCACACCGTTACATCGATGAACAGTCGAATCGGCGGCAGGTCCCACTAGAGTAACGTACAGCTTTAAACGTTTTTACGGTTTGTCCTGCTATAGTTCTATATAATCGATTATGATGACTACAGCTGATATGTACTGTCAACAATTAGAGAAGTGATGGACACGCTATGCATTTAGCAGAAAATATCGGTATACAATAGAAACCCCTCCTATTGCGCAATATAACACTGCAAAAAAAACGTTAGTAAAAAAGTTAAAATTCAACGTGTCACGTTTCATGCTGAAAATACACAAGTGATATTTAAAAAAATAACCACATACGGGGTTTAATATTTGTCAAGGGACTGTTACATTATGCAGTGCATTAAACTGTTAAGCCCTATATTTGTACCTGCGTCCTGGTTTCGCCCTGCCATGAACGATTATTAAAAGACGCATATACTAAAATGAACCCATTCAAAATAATACAAAAAAAAATGCACGAAACCTGAGTGCTGTACCAATTTTTCGACACTTTGTCACTCTTGTTCGCAGGGGACCCTTCACAGCCTTCGTATTTGAGCTTAAAAGGCTCTTCCTGGTATTTTTTCAACCACCACTCTACAGGCTCTACTTTAAGTAGAGCATCATTTACCGAATAGAGGATTTATACGGCAGGCTATCTTTGCTGATGTAGTTTCAAAATGGGCCTCACTCATCTGTAAACCACTCGAATTTTTTGACCCTCTATAATGTACTGCATTTCGTCTGCTAAAAGCCGGAGTGACGATATTCAAGTGTATATTCTTCGGTCCAAAAGGTACAGACGTATCTAGAAGACGATAGAAGGCAATATGTTGCACCATTATAAAATAGTCCCGCTTCGCAAAAGATTAACGTTCTAGCATTTTATACTGACTAATTTAATATGCACACAGACGACAGAAAGCAGTCTCACAAAGGCAATTTTTTTAATACTAGTAATAATGTACGTAGTTTGTTGTAAAATGAATAGGTCCCAGTGTATTCGTCGCCAGACATTGATGTTCTACATGTACATGCTTTCGGTCGTCTTACAATACGGGCAATAATGTAGAACGTATTTATTGTACTATCATTTTATTTATTAGTATCAAACTTGGTGTACACTTAGCCTATTCGTGTGCTTTGTAAAGTCACGACTGCTTACTTGTATCAAAACCAGTATAATCGCTTTTATTGAGCGCATTTTTTTATCGCTGCAGATTTATATTTTCAACGAGCTTGACATTTCGAAGTAGATCGCTCGCATGATAGGTTCCGAAGACATTTCGAAGGTATGCTGTACCTTGGCATAGTCGTGCATGATTGATCCGAAGCACAAGTCCTTGAAACACTTATAGTGCTAGCTCTTGTCAAGTGTTCTATTGGGCTTGCTAGTATTCAGAACCTGAGATGAAGATAAATAGACCTTGCGAACGGGCCACCGCCTTCCTTATGTTCACAACAACTAGCGTCATAGCCGGACAGCTATTGAAGCTACCTATAATGTATTTAATTACTGTTCTAGACATTGGACAAAACACATACGAGTAGACTGTGGCATGATACGCACCTCGGCCATTGCTGATTCATCAATCCACGCATTGTCAGCAACTAAACGGTGCTTCCTGTTGATCTAAACACGAACGTTTATTTTATAGTTCAGAATCTCCTTCAAGCGATGTCCACTGAGCAAGAATAGTTCTAATTGATCCTAACGTTTACGCGAGACCATCGCGTTCCATATGGGGATTTCGATTATCCCAATATATATGGATTGCTCATATCTTATGAATTCAGTATTACTCAGTACCGACATCCATGACGTTTTGACGGCCTAAACCAATACACCCTTGATCAATTCCTGATTCGTGTATCTTTATGTGAAACGCTTTCCGAACGTTGTAAAACGTACTAGGCGGCAGTCCTCGTTACTTTTTTTTAGTTAGATCATTTTAATGTAGGAGTACGCCGGTGGAAGTTGTTTTCTATTTGCAAAATACGCTAGCGTTGATAGAGAACTAATAAAAATAAACTAAATACGTAGCTAAAAATTTTCGTTAGGCTTACGTTTTACAAGGTTTGTAGTCCGTAAATCAGTCTGATAAGAACTACCTTAGAACTTTTAGTAGCTTAAGTGAGTGATTAATAAATTGTAATTGATTTGCTTGGTAGTTTTTGTTTGTTGAATTTAAAATTGAAAGTTTATTAACGTTCTTTATTATGTTCCCTTCTAATTTCTAAATAGTAAAATTACATAAATAATAGAAAATCTCAGAATATTGCAACAAAATATAAGGCTTCCTTGTAGACGAAGTAAATTCTGCAAAATCATCCAATAGTTTTAACTACAAAATAATACTTTGTGAAGAGTTGTTCGAAGGAGAAACTGAGGATTGTCCTTTTTTTTTGGTTTTTTTTTTCGTGTTCGATAGACCATGTAGGTCGGTGTATTTCTTGGCCTAGTCAAATAAGATTCTACAAAACATGCAAGTATTTCATCGTTATCACATTTGCCATGCAGTATACAAAGTAGTGTTTAAAATGAGGAAAACTGTGACAGATTGTTCATCGAAATTGGTTTTCTGTCGTTTTTCTTGGATCGAAGCAGCAAATTTGTTACGACGGACAACAATATGTCATTTCCATAATTTCAGCGATTGTCGAAACACTTTGTGCTAGACGAACTCCCAGAAAAATTAAAAGTTAAAAATTAAAAGAACTTGACGATTTACATTATGGCCTGTTTTCATGCGGTTTCTGAAAAATCCTTGTTTGAGAAAGACTTTCACGAAGCAACCTGAAAGATCTTAAATAATGTTTATATTTGAAAGGCTAAAAAAGCGGTTCGAAAAGCTATTTTCGACATACCTAAATTTTCACGTTTGTTAAGGACAACACCAACGGCCAACTAAGTCGTTCGGTAGAACGATTAGTCCTTTTGAAGCTTTACGCACCCTCCAAATTTCAGGACACCTTTTAGCTTTTACATTTTTGGCACTTCTGGCCTCCTCTCAGTCCTGCCGTGAGTTTTGCTGGATTTTTGTTTATGTAATGTATGTAAGTGAGACTTTAGCGAGTCCATTAACCAATGGTACTTGACGCATGGTTGCTACAAAAAAAATTAATTGCAGATTAAAGAAAGAAGATTTCGAAAATGACGAATTAGCGGTTTAGGTTTTGATTTGAATCTGTAATCGCAGTCGATGGTAGCGATACTGAATGAAATGTCTGTCAGGAACGACACTTCTGTCCCAATCGATTTCGTTGAAACCTTTGTTTTTGTTTAGATGCAGCCTTGGGAAAAGATGTCTAAGAAAGAGTCTCAATTTAGACGGGCCACCCTGTCGTTGGCGGGACTTGAACCAGCGATATGTGGGTAAAGATATATCTATGGATATAGCGTACGTCTGGCTGGTACAAAAAAGCGCAGTTTTTACAGTTGGTGTGGATCCGGAAATAGGTAAGTGTAGTAGGTATTTATATGCAAAGAAAGTATGCAGCCTATAGTTATTAGAACGTTTGCAATAATGACGTCAATCACTCTCTATTCGTTTTTAAGGCATGTGAAGAAATCGTTAA